CACACGCGGAGGGCCGGCGCACGCCCAGCAGAGCCACGGCGGAGCGCTGGAGGGCGTCAGGCAGCAGCTTCGGCTGCAGGCCTCCGCCGCGATGCGAACGCATCACGGACGTCGGGAGACCGGGGCTCCCGCCGCCCTCCGCCATGGGCACTCCGCGAGCCACTCCTCGCGGTGACCACGCTCGGTGGCGGCGGCGCCGCCGGCGACGGCGGCCAGCGGCAAGTTGACGGCCAGCGTTGGGCGGGCCTCGTTGGAATCGGCCCTCGGACCCCGCGAAGGCTCGACGACGAGGACGGCGACGACGACCACGACGACGACGCCGACGACGACGACGCCGACGACGACGACGACGCCGCCGACGACGCCGACGTCGACGCCGACGCCGACGACGACGACGACGGCGGCGGCGGCGGCGACGACGACGACGGCGGCGACGACGACGACGGCGGCGGAGGCGACGACGGCGGCGGCGGCCCCGGCGAAGGCATCGCGCCTTCGCGTGGAACTCCGCGATGCACTTCACGGTGCCATGCACGTCCAGCCTGGGAGGGGTCAGCGGGGGCGGTGTCGCCGCGGCCTCCCGGACCGAGAGGAGCGTGCCCTGCTGCTTCCTGCGCGGGCGGGGAGGAGGGGGAGGGGGAGGCGGTGGAGGAGGTGGCGGGGCAGGGGAAGGGGAGGGGGAGGAGGCAAGGAGGAGGAGCAGGAGGAGGAGGAGGAGGATGTGGCCGATGAGAGGCAGAAGGAGAAGGACGGGGAGGGCAAGAAGGAGGAGAAGGAGGAGAAGGAGGAGAAGGAGGAGGAGGAGGAGGAATGAACAAACGAACGAACGACGAAGGACGCGCGGAGACGCCCCGCCGGGGCGTGCTGGGCCGTTGTCGGCCTGCGCAGGAGGCCGTAACTAGCGTGAGAGGTCACTCTGGCGCTCCTGCTGGAAATAAGACGTCAACCGGTACAAAAAGGTGTGGGTGAAGTCGTGCGCGATCCGGCGCAAGTAGGAGACAATGAAGATGGGGTTCAGGATTGTGCGAGTGGTCGGTGTTGCCGGTTGGCGGTCAGTGCTGGTGGTCGGTTATTGTGCTGTGGTCGGAGTTGGAGATACCTTTTCCCAGGTGGGTTGCCGACCTTTTCTAAACTATCTGAGAATAGGTTAGGAATGCTACGACAGATGACTGCCAGCGTGGACTCCAAAGGGACACGGACAAAGCGGGGACCAACAGAGAATTTCGTCAGGCACGGCCCGGCGATGGTATCACGTTGCCAGTGTCGGAGTGCAGTATATGTAAAGAGTAAAAGGCGCCTCAAAACCAACCTCCTTTTTTCCCAGTGCGTAGTAAGAACAGCTTACGTACCAAAACGTGCACACCCAGAATGCGGTGACGTTTACTCGGCCGGCGGTGACATAGTGGTGCTGGTGACGCTGTTTGGTTTCGTTGCTGCTGCTGGTGGTTGAAGGTTTGCACAATCAACTGCGTATGCAAGAAAACTGCTCTCAAGTGAGTGTCACCACATCGTGTCCGTCACGGCCGTCAAGCATGGGACGTCGTTGCTGTCGTAGTGGAGACTGCCATGGGCGAGTGGCTTCGTTTGTGTTGCTCTGTGGAGCGGTGCCATTGGTTGTCTACTGTAAGCCATGGAGGAGGAGAACGATGGGGAGGAGAGGGACGATGATGATTATGGCGATGATGGTACTGATGATGATGGTGATGATGATGATGTTGATGATGGTCATGCTGCTGATGATGAGGATGAGGATGAGGCTGAGGATGAGGAGGACGATGAAGATGATGAGGATGATGAGGATGACGAGGATGAGGATGAGGATGCTGATGATGATGCTGATGATGAGTATGATGATGAAGGAAAGTGAGGAAGAGGGGGAGGAGAAGGAGGGGGATGATGATGATGATGATGATGCTGATGATGATGATGGTGATGATGATGATGATGATGATGATGATGATGATGATGCTGATGAGGTTGATGCTGATGATGTTGTTGATGATGATGATGATGATGATGATGATGATGACGACGATGATAATGATGATGATGATGATGGTGATGATGATGATGATGATGATGATGATGATGATGATGATGATGGTGATGGTGCTGATGCTGCTGATGATGATGACGATGGGGAGAAGGAGGAGGAGGAGGAGGAGGAGGAGAAGGAGGAGGAGGAGGAAAAGGAGGAGGAGGCAATTTCTGGCCCCAGGGGGCGAGGGGAAACGCTGGGAGGAGACCAGCTCAGGGGAGGAACATCGAGCTGGGCCACCCCGACAGTCCTGGGGGCACCTTGGGCGAATGGGGTACTTCTAGCCACGCCCGAGTCTGACCTGGTCCTTCCGCGCCCGGCCCCAGGGGAGGACAGGAGAGAAGTACTCATGGGGCACGAGGGTACAGACGAAGAGGAGAGAGACGAGCACGCTGGGCGCGATCGCACCACATCTGGCTTCCTAACCTTCCGACCCCTCCCGTCCCACTTCGCTGAATCCTCTTTTTTTTCTATCCGCCGGCAGGGGTCCCGGAGGACCTCGAGGAGGAACGAACATCGGAGCCAAGCGCGTGGCCCGCGCTGGGGCGAGAGCGCCCTTTTTCTGGAGGACGGAACCGAAGCGCCGAAGCGTGGCCACCGCTGAAGCGGGGGGGGGGGGCGCCATTTTTGAAGGACTGAGAGCGCTCCGAACGAACATCTGCACATATCGATGTGTGCGCAGATCATGAGAGGACATGTGCATGCCTACCTGCACGACCACCCTCCGGGTGATGAGGAGGTTAGGGGGGGAAGCCAACTGAGGGCAGCTGCGACGATTGCGATGGTGGCGATACTGGTGATGCGCTCGCGAGTTGGCGACGACACCGGCGGGACACCGAGGGGACACCGACGGGGCACCACTCGCCATCGCTCGGACGTCCATTCCCTGTGTTTTTTTTCGGTTTCGTGCTTTTTTTTTGCAAAAAGATCACGGATGCTCCTCGATGGTTCTCGCCGAAGGAAAAATGCACACGTCCGAGCGATGCCAAGACCACGGCGGGACACCCTCGGCCACCGCCAGCGGACACCGACGGGCCACCGCCTCGGGACACCACGGTGGGACGCCCCCAGCCGCGCCGGCCCACCGGAAGGCGGTCTTCTGTCTTGGCCCGCCCTGGCCGCAGCGGCGTCGTGCCTCTCGGCCGCCCGCGCAGCGTCGCCTCGCCCGCGCGCGCAACGCGAGCCCGACACCGAAGCCGACTTCCCGAAGGGGGGCTCGACGTTCCACTTCGATCGCACCCCCAACCTCCGCTGCACAGGTGCAGGTATACATATGTATATACATACACAGCCGACTCCGCAAACCTTGAGCAACAAAAGCGTTCCCGCCCAGCCGATCTGGTCAGAGTCCGGGCCCGATCCCGGCTCCTCCTCTCACGTGGACGGCTTCCCCCGGGGCCGTAGGCGACGCCAGGAGGGGAGGGCGAGGAGGGGGAGGAGGAGGAGGAGGAGGAGGAGGAGGAGGAGGAGGAGGAGGAGGAGGAGGAGGAGGAGGAGGAGGAGGAGGAGGAGGAGGAGGAGGAGGAGAGGGAGGAGGAGGAGGAGGAGCAGAGGAGGAGGAGGAGGAGAGAAGGAGGAGGAGGAGCAGGAGGAGGAGGAGGAGGAGAAGGAGGAGTAGGAGGAGGAGAGAGGAGAAGGACGGGTCGCCTAAGTCATTCGGAGAAACACTCCACCCCAAGTCTGGAGTTGCAAGACCAGGAGGACGCAAATGGTAATCACGTAATTACACCTGCGCTGGTCATGGCCCTGCCCGGTCCTGGGCCCGTGATCGGTGTGTCCGTCCTATCTCACCCTTTCGCTCACTCCTTCTCCTCCCCTCCTTATCCCTCCTCCTCCTCCTCCTCCTCCTCCTCCTCCTCCTCCTCCGCCACTGGCGACATTCCTGGGGCTCCTGTGGCGGTCGCCATCGGGGGAATTGTCTGCAGAGAAAGGGGAGGATGGATGACAAGCAGGGTGAGGAAGATGAGGGTAATGCTCAGAAGAGAGCGGGAGGGAGACGAAGAGAGAGAGGAGGAGGGGAAGGAACAGGAGCAGGTGAAAGGGAGCGATGACAAGGAGTATTGATGATGAGGAGGCGGCGGACAAGAGGGGTGATACAAAAATGGAGGAAGATAATATTTATACATATAATGAAGGCGAATCATTTTGGAGGACGAGGAAGCGTGCGTAGGATGGGGCGGTGTGTGAAGGACGAGCAGGAAAAAGGTGATGAGGACGAAGGATGGGCAGAGGGGGAGGGTGCAGGATGGACGGCGAGGTACAGGTGGATGCCCCAATCAGGCGTCACGCCCCATCCCCTGGGATAGGCCCAAACTCGTCGGCTTTGGCCTTCTCGACTGAGCAACTGCGCTGCCTAGCCCATCCAGCCGCCGAGTCGGGCATCTGAAAGCCGCCCAGAAGAACACCTTTCCAGATGCCCCAAACTGGGATCTCGATCCCCTAAAGGCGGAAGCTGGCCGCGGCCTCTTGAGGCCCGCCCGGGACCCACGTGCCTCGCCTAAACCTCCGTATGAATTATTATGTTGCAGTGCCCGGCTCACTCTGGCGTCTGACTCGAAGATGAAGCTCATGAGCTTTGAATTGTGGAAGCAACCTCTGAAGCCCGAGAGCCCCTGCGGCGAGAGCGCGGACGGACGGAGGCGGCGCCTGCGGCGAGAGCGCCGGGTCGTCAGACCCGCGAGGCGAGCCCCGCAACCAACAAAGTACCGGTGCCGCTACTCCACGGACCAGGGCCCCTCCCGGGTGCGTTCGGGCCAGAATTTCGAGGCGACTCCAGCGGGGGCGGAGTTCTCGGATCTTCGCTGCACGCCCCCTTCGGAATTTCGAGGCGACTCCGGCGGTGGTGACGAGGGCGGAGTCCTTGGGTCGTCGCTGCTGCACCCCCCCTCCCTCCCTGGTACGCGGGGCGCGCCAGGGGCGGCGCAGGAGGTGCCGCCAGGGGGCCCCAGCGTAGATCCAAGAAATCCACGCGGACCTCCCAATTTGCACGTTTATGTCACTGTTTGTGTTCCCGATCTGAGCCCAGGGCACAGGACCCAGGGGGACGGTGGCGGTATCGGAACCTTTTCTACGAGGACGGCGCCGGTGCACCGTACCATGCTTGGACTCCAGTCCGTCCGCGAATCTCCCCCCCCTGAAGCTCACGACCCACGCGGCCGCGGAGCGTCGGGCAGCGCATCCGCGCGCAGGCGCCTGTCGGCGCCGTCGTCCGCCTTGGGCTCCCTCGCCTTCTCCGCGGCGGCAACTGGCCGCTGGGTGGGGCCTCGGAGCGTCGAGGTCGTCGAGGTCGTCGTCGTCGTTGCCGCCACCGCGGGCGCCGCCGCCAGCGCCGCCGCCGCCGCAGCAGCAGCTGCCGCAGCCGCCGTCGTCGTCGACGTCGTCGTCGTCGTCGTCGCCACCGCCGCCGTCTTCGTCGTCGTCGTCGTCGTTGTCGTCGTCGTCGTCGTCGGCGGCGGCGGCGGCGTCGTCGTCGTCGTCGGCGTCATCGTCGTAGTCGTCGTCGTGGTCGTCGTCGTCTCGGAAGCGCGCTGAGGAAGTGAGAGGGGGCATGCCTTCTCAGAGGATGTCGGGGCTTCCCAGAAGTCCTGTGGCCTCTTCTGGTGAGCCTTCCGTGGCTTCGGAGGAGGCTGGGAAAGCTTCTCAGGAGGCCGGAGGCCTTCTGAGTCTTCTGAGAAGGCCCCCCCCCTGCCTTCCCCCCTGACCGCGCCGACGACGCCGTCGTTGCCACCATCGGCGTCGTCGCCGCCATCGGCGTCGTCGTCGTCGTCGTCGTCGTCGTCGTCGTCGTCGTCGTCCAAGTTCATTCCGAGCCCGACCAGAGGAGCACCGGACGCCGAGCAGCCCTCGGCCGGGCTGTACTTGTGTTGCACGCCCCCGGGGCAGGCGCGCCGACTGGAGACTACAGTCGGGGCGTTGACCTAAGGAACCCTAAATAAGGAACGAGGCTCCTTTTTTCCATAAGTTAAACTTCGATTTCCGATCGAAGAGATCAGGAAAACCTGAGGCAGGCTGTGAAACACTCAAGGAACGCGGAGCCCCTCCCCAACCAAAAGGGTTCCTTCTTCAGGGCCCCGCCTGTAGGGGCTGAGGAGCCTCGGCTGCGGTGAGCTGCCACGGGGAAACCTCTGCCTCCGCCAGCGCGCTGCCACAGGGAGCGCCACGCGAGGAGCGCAAGGAGCTCTCCTGGCCCCGGCGGGCCTGGGCCACAAGCAGGCTCCACGGCCTGGGTTCAGGGAGCGGCTATCAAAAAAAAAGAAAGCCCGAGGCCCTCGTGAGCCCACATTGGTCCTGGCTTCAGCGTCGTGACTGCGCTGACGAACGCCGCCCGACCCCTCCCGGCAGATCTGCCGTGCGCCCTCGCTCGGGCCGGCGCCGGCGCCGGCGCCCACTCCGAAGCCCGCGCCCTGCGCGGACCACCGCTGCAGACCAGGGGCGGCTGTCGCGCGGTGGTGCTCTGCGGTGCGCGGCGCCGACCGCGCCCAGCAAACCACTCCGCCATAGGTCAGCCACCCCCGGTGTATAGCTCGAATCGGAGATCGACTACAACATGGGTTACCCCAAACTTGAAATATTCGTCGAATCGACGGAAGCTGTAGAATGTTGTAGATCTGCTAACATTTTTGTGCTATATTTCTCGTAGATTCGACGAGGAAGCAAATTTGGGGGTAAATTAATCCTGTAGTCGATCTCCTACTCGAATACTGGTGGTCGTGAAAACCTAGCCCGCGAGCACTGGCGGCATTCTGCCGCTCGGGCGAGCAACGTGGCGGAAAAGGAGGACCGCCCTCCCCACATCTCCAACTACGGTCTTTCCTTCGACAAAAAGGAACACCCGTTGAGTTCTCGAACCCTTCCGTGGGACAACTTGTTATCCTGTCCCGGGGCCTAGCTAGAGGAACAAAACCCGGCAAGTGCCCTCAGAAGCCGAAAACTGCCGACAACCTCCAAAATTGTTCAATTCCCGATTCACCAATCGGGGAACTCCTGACCTGCGTCAGTCCAGACCCGGGACAGTCAGGCCTCGCAGGAGACTGCAAGACCCTGCAGGATCCTGCACCCAGAACCGGGGCCCATGCAGCGCTGCTGGCTCTGCAGGACCCTGCAGGATCCTGCGCCCCAAGCCCGGGTCGGTGCGGCCCTGGCCCTGCGGGATCCTGCAAGATCCAGCCAGTGGGTGCCACTGGGTGCAGGGCTTGCGCCGGTCGGCCTTCCACGGGTTCCTTAGAGTCTGGGCTCCCCGGTCACACGGCCTTGGTTCCTCCCTGCTGTCTTCCTCGGGCTCCTCGGTCCTTGGTTCCCTGGCTCCTTGGGCTCGCGTCACTGGTCCCTGGGTTGTGGTTCCTTGGTCTTGGCACCCTGGTTCCCTGGTTGTGGTTCCTTGGATCCTTGCTGTCATGCCACGCAATGCCAAGCAACGCCAAGCGGAGCCAATCGACGCAAAACAACGCAACGCAACGCACAGCAACGCCAACAAATGCAAGGCGGCGCCAGGCAGTGCCACGCAATGCCGAGCGGTGCCCATCAATACCAGGCAATGCCAAGCAGTGCCAGGCAGTATGGCGAGCAGTGCCAAACAACGTACTAAACAACATGCTAAGCAACGCTACGCAGCGCGTCCGTGGAATAGAAAGCTGTCCCTTACTTGGGGCTCGGGGCTCGCAAATCGGCCTCAGACCCATCCCGAGGTGAGTCCTGAGCAGAGTTTCGAAGCGGATCCAGCCGTGGCCACGAAGATCCTCCAGAAGCCCCCTCCCCAAGCCTCGATCCGAAATCCTCCTACCTTGAGAATCGACCTCGTTCTCCTCCTCCTCATCCTCCTCCTCCATTTTGGATGTCCGAAAAGGGCCCCATGAAAAAAGGGGCACGCTGCCCAACCGCGAGCGTGGTCCAAAACCTACAGCGGCCGCTGTGGGGCCGGCGCCTTGCTGCCTCAGGTAGACCACGTCCGCGGCGACATGGACACCGAGCCCTGTTCAACGTGGACGGGAACTGCTGGGCAAAAAACATCTACGCCAACTGCTGTCGGTCTTCGATCGCCAAACCAGCATCGTCTGGAAGCATGCTGCCAGAGCACAGGCAGGAAGCACAGAGCATTTGAGACCACACCGTACGCATGCCCCGGGGCAAAGCCTCACTGGGCACGTGCCGTAACGGTCTTGACTGCCAACGCCTGCATCGAACGACGAACCATTCGCTCAAGTGGTCCGCACTCTTTCCGTACCCATGCCGATTCTCCAGATCCTCCGCGTTCTCCCCATCCCAAGAGAGCCCATGGCAGACTCGAATCGATTACCGGCCATCGACATGATGCGGATCGGCGGAACTCGGCAGCCGAGCCGGGAGAGGTCGAATCGCCAGAACAATCGGCAGGCTGACATGCCTCCTATTTGAGAAGTCGGAATCCGAATCGGAACCCGAGGCCGAATCGGAACCGGAACCGGGAGCCATCGAAATCGAGTTCGAATCTTGGCGGCGCGCACAAGGAGGCCAGCCCTACATCTATAGAGAAGGCCCGCGCCTCCTAAGAAGCAGGGGTGCTTCTGAGAAGCCGAAAAGCCTTCCCTCCTCCCCTTGCACTCCTCTGCTAATGGCCGAGAATATGATGAATCAAAAGGAGCCCTGCGTCCCTCGGGGATCTATTGACCGGGGTCAATCCGAACCCGTGTAAGTCGGGCTTCGCAAGATCCTGCACGACCCTGCAGGATCCCGAAGGTTCCTGCACCCAAAACCCGGGTCAATGCCCCCCTGGTCCTGCAGGATCCTGCAAGTTCCGGCGCTCTGACTGAACCCCGTTTGCATTGACCCCCGTCTCTTTCTGGAGGTAGGAATGGGGTGTGGCATAAAGGGGTGCGGTGCCAATCGTGGACATGGAGATGCTACTCACGATGGGTACCACCGCCAGATTCAGCATTCGCACCACACCCGTTTATGCCACACCCCTTTCTCGGGGGCGCGCAAACCTGGATCGGGGAAGGTGCCCTCCCCAAAATGCGGCCGGTGCCGCCTCGTTCGGCGGCGGAAATCCGCGATTTCCAATTGAAACGGGGCCCGTCGCTAATCCACGCCCCCTTGATCCATGTTTGCGATCGCCTGACCCTTCCCGATTTTCAGACACTCTTGAGCCCCTGGGGTCTGGAGGGTTTCTCCGAAGGGCTTGGGCCACCCCTCCTCCTCCTCCTCCTCCTCCTCCTCCTCATCATCATCATCATCCTCATCATCATCCTCATCCTCATCCTCATCCTCATCCTCATCCTCATCCTCCTCATCCTCCTCCTCCTCCTCCTCCTCATCATCCTCATCCTAATCCTCATCCTCATCCTCATCCTCATCCTCATCCTCATCCTCATCCTCATCCTCATCCTCATCAGCATCATCATCATCCTCATCCTCATCCTCATCCTCATCCTCATCCTCATCCTCATCCTCATCCTCATCCTCATCAGCATCATCATCCTCATCCTCATCCTCATCAGCATCATCATCATCATCATCCTCATCCTCATCCTCATCCTCATCCTCATCAGCATCATCATCCTCATCCTCATCCTCATCCTCATCCTCATCCTCATCCTCATCCTCATCCTCATCCTCATCCTCATCCTCATCCTCATCCTCATCCTCATCTCATCCTCATCCTCATCCTCATCCTCCTCCTCCTCCTCCTCTTCCTCCTCCTCATCATCATCATCATCATCATCATCATCATCATCCCTCCCCTCTCCCCCTCCCCCTTCCCCCCCCTCCTTATCCTCCTCCTCCTCCTCCTCCTCCTTATCCTCCTCCTCCTCCTCCTCCTCCTCCTCCTCCTCCTCCTCCTCCTCCTCGGGTCGCCCACGGCCCCTGGCCCCCGGGGAAGCCGTGCAGACGACGCCCCCGCTGCGCCCCAGCGGCCCGGCGGCCGAAGGCGCGGGGCGCGCGGGGCCTCCGGGGCCCAGCTGCTGCCGCAGCGCGGGGTCCGCCTCGCGGGCGAGCAGCAAGCTCGGCGGGCCAAGACGCGCACGGAGGACGGGGCCCTGGGGCACACCAATAAATAGACACAAATAACAGGATCCCCCATCTTTTCCCGCATGTTCTGGGTGTGTGTCTTCCCCCCCCCCCACTTCCCATGTTTTCCCATATTGTCTGGGGAGTCGACGATGAATTGTGCCTGTGTGTGCTTTTCCCTCCCGAATGGAGGACGGGCGGTGCGGTGCGGGCATTTATTTGTTCTACCCCAAGGGATTTCGGGAGGGCCCGCTGGGTCCCCAAAGCCTCGGACACCACCAGAGCCACCATCCCTGCGGCTCCTCAGCCTGTGCCAGAGGCCGTGCGACGGGACAGGCACGATGAGGGCATTGGATAAGGAACCATGAGGATTCCAGGGTCTGGAAGCAGGAGGAAATCCCATCGTGGATCGGCCATGGATATCACCGCCGCCCTCATTGAATAAGGACTCCTCCAGAGTCTGGCGCCTCCTGGGACTATTCCTTCACGAACGCCTCCACCGCAGAACGAAGGCAAGACCCTTGGGAGCCGAAGTCGGGATTCCTTGGGCGACGGGTGGCCAGGGAAAACGGCCAAGGACGGGCCGCAGAGGCAAGGACGCGAGGGCACCCCAGATGAGGGTGCGCGTACTTACGAAGCGCGTGGACTGTATGCGCAAGAGCGGCCCCGGGCAAGAGTGACCCTACAGGCAGTCGCGGCCCCAGGCACGGGTGACAACATGGGGCCGCAGGGTGGCCGAATCCAAGCGCGCAGGCGGCCGCTGTCGTATCGCGCTCAACCATCGGAGGGACCCCCGATGAGCCCGCACTGAAAGGTCACCCTGGCCACGAGCCACCCCTCAAGCGAGCAGCACGTAGGACGAAGCCGGGACGAGGATGCATCCGGGTGAGGATAAAGCGGGGATCTCTGAGATCCAGCGGCTCTGGAGGATGCCTCGGGCGCCGCGGCATTCTCAGAGCGTTCCAGAGCGCGCTGAGCACGTTCCGGAACGCTCTGAGACGGATTGATCCTCGCCCTGGCCCCGTCGGAGCAAGAGTCGCGTGGCCTTGGCGCCGGGTCCCGACACCACGGGGATCGCTCCACCTTGAACGATGGGCCGCTTCCGAAACGTCGGATCGTTCGGCATCGACTGATTCTGGGTCGCCGGCGGCGTTCCACGTTGAACGCCGGCGGTTGGGTCGCCACCCGTCGACACGATGCGAACCTACCGTAGCCAGAGTCCAAGCGTTTTTACAGCTGGGGCGGCTTTCAGATTGCCCTCATGCTCATGATCAGCCTGCAGCCTCGTCATCAGTCTAGTTGCCGTCGCAGTCGTCGTCGTCGTCGCTGTTCTCGTCGTATTCCTCCTTCTCGTCATCCTGTTTCTCGCCCTCCCTGGTCGATGCCTCAGGCAAGACCGACTGAGATTTTGAACAAATTCTGGCCTCCAAGATTTTTGGCGGCTGTTGGGGTTCAGCGCGTTCGAGCTTTGGGGGACATCCTTCGGGGCTCGGATCCGAGCGTCTTGGGAAAATATACTTGTTCGCTGTTCTTGTTAGAGGGGGTGCTTAAGGCCTCCGCAGTCTCCGCGTTGGTTGGTAATTTAGCGCATTTTGAAGATTTCGGGGGCCTGTGGGATCTCCGGAGGCTTCTCCAAATTCCGGGGCCACGGGCCGTCAGAAAACAATCCGGGATGCAGCCCCAGGCAATGAAGAATCCCTTCCACCCCCTCGCCTGGTGGAAGTATGACGCGTCCCGCGCCCTGGAGGCGTTGCCCTGACGCCGGGCGATACCAATAATGTCCGGAAGAACTCGAAACAAGACGCCGATGAAGTTCCAGAAATCCACCGGTTCCTGACACTACCAGGGACGTCTGAATTACTCACGGGGGCTGGCATCATGTTCACAAGTGCTACAGGCGTTGTCCATCTTCATCTTCTTATCTAAACGGGGCAAGGATAATGCCTTACCTGGAGCCAGTCCGCATGACGGGCTGTATTTGTAGATGATCGTGGTCGCGGCCGAGGGTTGCCTCGTCGCCATCACCGTCGCCGCCGTCATCTTCGCATCCACGGCGATGCTGCCCGCGGTCATTTTGGCCCAATCCTGACTTCCAGATCCCATACCGAATGTCAGCCAAGACAACAAGTGTAGCGCCCTGTCTGGGCTCCACGACCTGGCAAGTGAGGTGGGCGCGCTTTCGAGCTGGCGCAAGGTCGGCTCTCGAACGCGGGCTCTGGCGCTTTCCGCGCCGAAGCCCTCCTGGGCCTCCTGGGGGGGGGGGGGGGGCATATGAAGGAGCTCCCCCCCTTTGATCGATCTCCTCCAAGATATCCCCCCCGAGGCTCCCAAGGACGCGCCACTTGCCGATGGCTGGACGTCCCGCGGGGCCAGCTCTCCGCGGCGGGCCGCGCCCCTCGGCTGCGGACTGCGGCGGGCCCCGCGCCCGCCGCCCCCCCCGGCGCCACGCCCGCGCCGCGCCCCCCTTGGCGTGCGCAGTGCCAGCAGCACGGCGGGGGGCCGGCGCGAAGCCCGGCGACCAGTATCGGGCTGGGCGAAAGGGGGGGATAGCAAAGGGGGGGTTTGAGAATCAGCTCACGTAGCCGACTTTCCCGGCGCAGCAGATTTCGTAACCCCCATTTTCCCAATCCCCCCCTTTCGCTCGGCCCGACAGTGCCAGGAAAGCAGGCGTCGCTGGCATGCAGGGCGTGGGCCGTGCGGTGCGGCGAGCGGCGCGCCTGGCGTGCGCGCCGCACCCGGGGGCGGTTGGCGCTGAGGCTCCGCCCCGCGGTGCCGCAGTTGAGGCACCAGCGCGTCGGTCCCAGCGTCTCTTGAGCAGGGGCCGACCGTCCAGGCAGTCCTGTAGGCCTACCAAGATGCCCTCAGAGCGTAAAGCCGATGTGTGAAAACAAGACGGTCCCAGCCAGAAGTGTTCTGAGAACATTTCGTGGAAACCACAAGTGGCTCTTAGAACATTGCGTGGTGGGCCGATGAGCACGCCAAGACGCTTCGCCACTGCTCAGCTCTCTCTCTATCGCTCTCCCCCTCCGCTCCCCCCTCTCCTCTGCCACCGGCAGGGCTTTGGCCGGATCCTCGAGTCCTGGCTGCCTCACTGTCTGGGCCAAGCCTAACCCCATGCCGAGGATAATAAAGTACCCCCCCCTTAAGTCGTTAGAGTTTTTTATCGTCGGCCTAGAAGGGTTTCAAATATAGGCGGAGGGCGCGGAGGCCGAACTTCATTATCATTGGGAAAGTTCGCCATCGAGGTTACTTCCTTCTCTCTTTTTCTTTGTGTTGCTTTCTGTTTCTCTCTCTCTCTCTGTCTCTCTCTCTCTCTGTCGTTCTTTCTCCTCCTCCCTCTGGCGCCCTGAACTTGTTTATCGCTGGGGTTGATTATCTGGAAAAAACTACGCACATGAGCTACCCTACACGAGCAGATGAAAATCTTAAGTTTCATTAAGCGCTTACAAATTAGATATAATAAGTTTCCAACTTTGGATTTTTGCTTCTACCTCCTGCTCTGCTTCTCCTGCTCTTCCTCCTTATCATCCTTCTCCTCTTCCTTTTCTTCTTTCTTTATATTTCTCTTTCTATGTTTTTGTCTTCTTGTCTCCCTGGCCCCCTGAACTTGTTTATCGCTGGGGTTGATTATCCTGGGGAAACTAAGCACTGTTATCGCCTCAAGCGAAACAAGCAATGATTTCAAGGGTGTCTCAAGCGAAACGAGAGATTTGTCGAGGATGCCTCAAGCGAAACAAGCAATGATTTCAAGGATGTCTCAAGCGAGATGAGCAATAATTTGAAGATGTCTCAAGCGAAACAGACAAATATTTCGAGGATGTCTCAAGCGAAACAAGCAATTCGTTGAGGATGTCTCAACCGAGACAAATCATTGAGGATGTCTCATAGAGGACCAAAGACCAAGGATCCTCAAGATATCTTTGGCTTTTTCGTTTGATATCTCTTTATGCTGGCGCTGGCGGGCAACTTATAATATCTCCCCGAAAACCCCGAACTTTATTATCCCTGTGTGTTTATTATCCGCGGCATGGGGTTACTCTGATTCGACGACGACGACGACGACGACGTCCACGACCACGACCACGACGGGGTCTCCACCGCGGGCTCGCGGGCCGACCGCCGCGCAAGTGGGGACGCTCGGAAAATGTGTCGGCGTCCCCCGGGGCCCGACACGGCTCTCCGGAGGCCGAATATGTAGAGAGACCTCCAGGATCCTCGAGCCTCGAACCTCAAACCCAGGAGCCGACCAAAGACGTCGATTTGGCATGCTCGCGATGGGCACGGGCAACAACAATCTGTATGCTGCGCGACAGCAAATGTTGTACACAACCGACAGCGGGCGCTGTTGTACAAGCAGGCTTGTGTCTCAAATGGGCAGCGCCCGCGACGACACAGACAGTGAGTCTGAGTCTGGTTGAACATGAAAAAGAACTGCTGTTGGTTTTCGTCCCCCTTCTTTTCGTGTAAATATCGGTCCTGCCGACCAAATTTTGGGGAACCCAAGAGGTACCTGTACCGCTACTCCACGGACCTATCCTGGGGTGCGTTCTGACAAGAATTTCTGCGGAGAGTTCAGCCGTGATGGCGAGGGAAGGGTAGCGTTAGGTCGGGCATGTCCTCCTACACGCGGATTTTGGGAGAACCTTTAACATAGTTAACAATAATTCAAAGCATAGTCAACAGAGCCCGAGAACTCGTCCCCACACTAATCTTTAACTATTTTTGAATACTCCTCCTGTAGAGGGACATGCCCGACTTAAGCGTAGCGGCATCGGCACCACTGCCTCCTCTGACAAGCGCCTCGATCCTCCAACCTCAGGGGGGGGAGGGGGGACCGCCGAGCCCCGCGTGGCCGCCGCAAGCACGCCTCCGGCAGCTAGCCTCCGGGAACTGGTCGCCCAAAACCGCTGGATGCCAAAACGGCGTGACCAAGGGCGGCCGCCGACACTACGCCACGACAGTCTATACACACAGACGCCCTCCTACGATTTTTCTATGTAGCTTCGGCAGGGCGGCGGTGTACAAAGTCGCTGGATCTCCGTGGTGCTTCGTACGCCGCATCCATCCCCCGAGGCCCAGGGAGACAATCCGTCGGAGGGCGTATGTGTACATAATTATTTCTGTGGCGGAGACGCGAGTGCTTCTGGGAAGCTCGAGGGCCCAGGAAGGAGGGCTGGGCTTCTACTGCCCCGGGGCAGTGCCCAGGCCAGGCAGGCTTTGCAGGAGCCTGCAGGATGCTGCAGTGGACTACACGCAAGAGTGACCCTGGGCAAGGGTGACCTCTAGTGCGCGGCATAACGGGGGACGCAGGGTGGCCACACCTGGGCGCCCAAACCGCTGCTACCGCTTCGCGTTCGGCGGTCGGGGGACCCCACTGGGCCCGCACCAGAAAGTCACCCCAGCGAGAGGTCACTCCTACGTGCAGTCGGTGCAGGATCCTGCAGGGTCGTGCGCGCGGACCCGGGTCAAAAGCAACCCTGGCTTGGCAGGATCCTGCAAGATGCGGCGCCCTGGCTGAACCCCGCTTGCACCTGCCCCCGCTCCCTGCCAGCTCGAGGGGGCCAAGAGGGGGGCGTCCAAGAGGTGGGGGTGCAAATCGTGGCTGGCGGCACGTGCGCGGCCCAAGGGGGGGCCCAGGGACGTGATGAAATGAGAAGAGGCGCCGTGAAATCTGGGGAAATATCATGACCCACGCCATGGTATCCCCCCCCTCTAGTCATCACCCCCCTCTTTGCCGCCCCCGCTTCCTACCAGCTCGAGGGGAGGAGGAGGAGGAGGAGGAGGAGGAGGAGGAGGAGGAGGAGGAGGAGGAGGAGGAGGAGGAGGAGGAGGAGGAGAGGAGGAGGAGGAGAGGAGGAGGAGGAGGAGGGAGGGAGGAGGAGGAGGAGGAGGAGGAGGAGGGGGAGGAGGAGGAGGAGGAGGAGGCAGGAGGAGGAGGAGGAGGAGGAGGGGGGAGCGGAGCCGGGCGGGCCTTGTACTGCTGCTGCTTGCCCGCGCCGCCGCCCATGGCCGGCTCTCCCAAGGGGGAGGCGCGGGCGCGGGCGCCCCCCACGGGAGGCCGGGGAGGAGGCTGCGGGCCCTGCCGGGAGGAGCAGGTGCTTCCCCCCCCCGCGGCAGGGGGGGGGGGGGGGCGGCGAGCGAGGCGGAGGCGAGCGAGGCGAGGGAGGAGGCAGAGGGAGGCCTAGACACAGGGCGGGAGGCGGAGGAGGGAGGGGGCTTCCTCGGGGGCTTCTCTGGCATCCACAGGTCGGCGGGGGCCCGCCGGGACAAAAAGCAGCCGAGGAGCGCCAGAGCTCGACGGGCGGAGGAGGAGAGGGCGTGGGAGGGGGCGGAGGGGGCGCATAGCAAGGCGAAGCGGGGCGGAGAAGCACAGCGGAGGAGAAGGAGAAAGAGGGGGGGAGGAGAAAGAGGGGAAGAGAGGGAGGAGAAAGAAAAGGAGGAGGAGGAGGAGGAGGAGGAGGAGGAGGAGGAGAAGGAAGCGCGGAGACGGGGGGCGGAGTAAAACGACACAGGGCGCATAGGGGGCAGCGTAGGAGGATCAGTAGCAGTGAGGCGGCAAAGAAAAAGGAGGAGGCGGCAGATGGCGGGGAGGAAGGTGGAGAGGGAAGGTGGAGGGGGAAGGCGGAGGGGGAAGGCGATGCAGAGGCGGCGGCGGACGACGAGGGGAGGAAGACTGCGATAGCTGCGAGCGCGGGGCGGTACATGATGCATCCCTGCGTGCGCCACGCGCCTTGCTTTTAGTTGTTATCTTTGTTTTGTTCTCTCTCTCTCTCTCCCTCTCTCATTTTGTTGTCTCTCTCTCTCTCTCTCTCTATCTGCTGTTTGTCTCTCTCTCTCTCTCTCTCTTTTTCTGTCTCTCTTTCTGCTCTCTCTCTCTCTCTATATATATAGATGTATATGTAAATGTATGATTTGTCCCAACCATCCTGTGGTGTTGGGTCTACGTCTTGAAGGACGATACACGCGACTCCTCTACTCCTGCTCCTCCTCCCTGCTCCTCCCTCCTCCCACCCATACCTCTGCCATCCGCACCCGTCAACCATTTCGGCACACCCCTCACACGTCGCGTGGCCCCACAGGGAGCTTCACCGAAGGCCCCAGCGGCGGTGTTCGCGTGCGCTCCACCGCACCCCCTACAACGCTTCGTAGCCTCTTAGGGAGCTCCATCGAAGGTCCAGATGCCAGCACTCGCGTGCGCCCACTGCACCCAATTTGGCACACCCCTCGCACGCTTCGTGGCCCCATAGGAAGCTCCACCGAAGGCCCACATGCCAGCGCTCGCATGCGCCCACCGCACCCATTTTGGCACACCCCTCACGCGCTTCGTGGCCCCATAGGGAGCTCCACCGAAGGCCCACATGCCAGTGCTCGCGTGCGTCCACCGCACTCATGTTGGCACACCCCTAGCGCGCTTCGTGGCCCCATAGGGAGCTCCACCGAAGGCCCAGATGCCAGCGCTCGCATACGCCCACCGCGCCCATTTTGGCACATCATTAACGTTTCGTATCACCAGCGGGAGATCCATGAATGCCCAGATGCCAGCGCTCGCGTGCGCCAACTGCAACTATTCCCAAACATCATGTGGTGTGCGCCCCGACTCCCACCTCCTCACCTGTTCTCTCCTCTCCTCCTCTTCCCCTCCTCCTCTCCCCCCCTACTGAGGCACACCCCTCACACGTTGCGTGGCCCCATAAGGAGCTCCACCAAAACCCGAGCTGCCAGCGCTCGCGTGCGCCCACCGCACCCTTGTTGGCACACCACTCGCACGTTCCGTGGCCCCATAGGGAGCTCCACCGGCGGCACAAATACCAGCGCTCGCATGCGCTCACCCACCGCACTCACATTGTTACACCTCTCACACGCTTCGTGCCCCCTCAGGGAGCCCCATCGAGGGCCCAGATGCCAGCGCCCGCATGCGCCCACCGCACCCATTTTGGCACACCACTCGCACGCTTCGTGGCACCATAGGGAGCTCCACCGAAAGCCCAGATGTCAGCGCTCGCATGCGCCCACCGCCCCCATTTTGGCACACCCCTCACACACTTCGTGGCCCCATACGAAGCTCCACCGACGGCCCAGATGCCAGCGCTCGCATGCGCCCACCGCACCCTTGTTGGAACTCCCCTCGCGCGCTTCGTGGCCCCATAGGGAGCTCCACCGAAGGCCCAGATGCCAGCGCTCGCATACGCCCACCGCGCCCACTTTGGCACATCATTAACGTTTCGTATCACCAGCGGGAGATCCATGAAGGCCCAGATGTCAGCGCTCGCATGCGCCCACCGCCCCCATTTTGGCACACCCCTCACACACTCCGTGGCCCCATAGGGAGCTCCACCGACGGCCCAGATGCCAGCGCTCGCATGCGCCCACCGCCCCCATTTTGGCACACCCCTCACACGCTTCGTGGCCCCATAGGGAGCTCCACCGAAGGCCCACATGCCAGTGCTCGCATGCGCCCACCGCACCCTTATTGGAACTCCCCTCGTGCGTTTCGTGGCCGCATAAGGAGTTCCACCGAAGGCCCACATGCCAGCGCTCGCATGCGCCCACCGCGCTCATTCTTGGCACACCCGTCACACGTTTCGTGGCCACACAGGGAGCTCCACCGAAGGCCCACATGCCAGTGCTCGCGTGCGTCCACCGCACTCATGTTGGCACACCCCTCGCGCGCTTCGTGGCCCCATAGGGAGCTCCACCGAAGGCCCAGATGCCAGCGCTCGCATGCCTCCACCCCGCCCATTTTGGCACACGCTTCACACGTTTCGCAGCCCCACAGGGAGCTCCACCGAAGGCCCACATGCCAGCGCTCGCATGCGCTCAGCGCGCCAATGCTGGGATACTCCTGAATCGTTTCGTGGCCACATGGGGAGCCCCGCCGAAGGCCCAAATGCCAGCGCTCGCACGCCTCCACCCCACCCATTTCGGCACACGCCTCACACGTTTCGCAGCCCCACAGGGAGCTCCACCGACGGCCCACATGCCAGCGCTCGCATGCGCTCAGCGCGCCAATGCTGGGATACTCCTTAATCGTTCCGTGGCCACATAGGGAGCCCCGCCGAAGGCCCAAATGCCAGCGCTCGCACGCCTCCACCCCACCCATTTCAGCACACGCCTCACACGTTCCGTGGCCCCATACGGAGCTCCACCGACGGCCCAGATGCCAGCGCTCGCGTGCGCCCACCGCGCCCATTATGGATCTTCTTTTTTAATACCCTTCGTGGCACCATCGGGAGCCCCATCGAAGGCCCAGATGCCAGCGCTCGCATGCGCCCACCGCGCCCATGTTGGCACACCCCTCACACGCTTCGTGGCACCATAGGGGCCTCCACCGAAAGCCGACATGCCAGCGCTCGCGTGCGCCCACCGCACTCATAGTGGCACACCATTCACACGCTTCGTGGCCCAATAGGGTGCCCCACCGAAGGCCCAGATGTCAGCGCTCGTATGCGCCCACCGCGCCCATGTTTGAGACACCCCTCACACGTTTCGCAGCCCCATAGGGAACCCCACCGAAGGCCCACATGCCAGCGCTAGCATGCGCCCACCGCACCCATTTTGGCACACCCGTCACACATTTCGTGGCCTCATCGGGAACTCCACCGGATGCGGTGCATACAACGACGGTGCCCACAACTGCATCTGGGTGGGTCTTTCGCCAAGCTAAGTCTGGCACGCCCCACGCACGCTCCGTAGCCCCATAGGGAGCTCCATCGAAGGCCCAGATTCCAGCACTCGCATGCGTCCACCGCACCTATTTTGGCACACCCGTCATACGTTTAGTGTCCCCATGCGGAGCCCCACCGACGGCCCAAATGCCAGCGCTCGCGTGCGCCCACCGTGCCCATATTGGCACATCCCTCGAGAGTTCCGTGGCCCCAGAAGGGGGCTCTACCAAAGGCCCAGATGACAGCGCTCGCATGCGCCCAACGCGCCCATTTTGGAACACCCGTTACACTCTTCGTGGCCCCACAGGAAGCTCCACCGAAGGCCCACATGCCAGCGGCAACATGCGCCCACCGCACCCATACTGGCACACCCTGCGCACGCTTCGTGGCCCCATAGGGTGCTACACCGAAGGCCCAGATGTCAGCGCTCGTATGCGCCCACCGCACCCATTTGGGGGGCACCCCTCACGCGTTTCGCAGCCCCATAGGGAACCCCACCGAAGGCCCACATGCCAGCGCTAGCATGCGCCCACCGCACCCATTTTGGCACACCCCTCACACGCTTCGTGGCCCCATAGTGAGCTCCACCGAAGGCTCACATGTCAGCGCTCGCATGCGCCCTCCGCGCCCATATTTGCACACCCCTGACACGCTTCGTGGCCCCATAGAAAGCTCCACCGAATGCGGTGCATACAACGACAGTGCCCACAACTGCATCTGGTTAGGGCCGTCGCCAGGCTAAGCTCTCTTTTTTGTTTTCTCTCTCTCTCTCTATTTCTCTCTCTCTCTCTCTCTCCCTCTCTCTCTCTCTCTATCTCTCTCTCTCTCTCTCTTCATCTCGTCATCGCTCTCTCTCTTTCTCTCCCTCTCTGTTGTTGCTTCGTCTCCCTCCTCCTCTCTCTTCACTTGCAGATGCAGGACTACTCTAATCAGATGCATGCGCGTTCCCACCACACCTATTCAATATACAGCAATCGCGCGCGCTCCGTGCGCGCTCAAGGCCTAGATCTGCAATCTTCGTGCGCAGCTTCTGTCTCCAGGGGCTGGGACAACTTTCTGCATGTTGCAGAGCTTCGACCCTCGAAGGAGTTGATGCAGGAGTTCTCGAACCCATCCGCCCTGATCAGCCAGAAAATACATATTCCGAATCATATGTACGATCATGTTAAGGCTTACGTGTTGTGTGAATTGATCCTACGATAAGGCGGACATGCATTGAAGATAACCTGAACGTTACTTCGCACATCTGCCAACCACCTACCAAACATGTGCATAACGCATGTGGATGGTTTGCAGATGCTGGGCTCACGTTGGATACCAACCGCGAAGCAACGAGAAAACGGTCACCACCGAATAACACACGCTACACAATCCCTATTTCGGCATGTCTGCTAGCACTTGTTGAACTCAATTCAAAATCCCAGGCTAAAGTTAAACATATGAGCCTGCGATTCATGGATGGTCAGGGCTGCTTCGAACTCATTCGAAATTGGTTGTTCAAGCCTCACAACCAAAGAACATGCTAATCATACAACCGTTTGGTTATGACGCCCGAGGTATTGGCAACAACAGGGTACACCCGGGCCCGTTTCCGAGCCTCCACATTATCCTTTTCCTCCTCCCCTGCAGCCTCCTCCTCCTCCTCCTCATCCTTCTCCTCCTCCTCCTCCTCCTCCTCCTTTGCCTCGTCCCTACAGCGCATGGGGCGCAGCTGACCCGAGACAGTATGCTTTTGCTTGCGATCACGTCAGAAGCCTGAGGCTCATGGAGCACAGGCTGCACACCTGAACTGCTCAGGTAACCGGTCCCGACTTCATGCTGGGATGTGTCATTGTTTTGGCGAAGAATCCTCCTCCTCCTCCTCCTCCTCCTCCTCCTCCTCCGCCCTCTTCCTCCGCCTCCCTCCTCCACTCCTCCTCCTCGTCCTCCTCCTCTCCCCCTGTTCTCATCCTTGGCGCTCATCTCTCCATCATCCTCCTGCACCTGCTCCAACTCGTCCCTACTTCCCATCCTCCTTCTCCTTCCAGCCTCCCCGCACAATCTCCTCCCCCTCCGCCTCCTCCTCCTCCTCCTCCCCTCCTCCTCCGCCTCCTCCTCCTCCTCCTCCTCCTCTCCTCCCCCTCCTCCTCTCCTCCTCCTCCTTCCCCATCCTCCTCCTCCTCCTCCCTCCACATCGCCCTTCCACCTCCCCCCTTTCCTTCGTCCTCCCTCTACCTCGCCCTGCCGATTTCTCGCTGCAGCCCCCTCCTCCCTCTCCCCCTCCCCCTCCCCTTCCTCCTCCTCTCCTCCTCCTCCTTCTCCTCCTCCTCCTCCTCTTCCTCCTCCTCCTCCTCCTCCTCCTCCTCCTCCTCCTCATCCTCCTCTCCTCCTTCCTCCCTCCTCCTCCTCTCTCATCCTCCTCCTTTCCCTCCACTCTCCTCCGCCTCCTCCTCCTCCTCCTCCTCCTCCTCCTCCTCCCTCCTCTCCCCTCCTCCCCCTCCCCCCCTTCCTCCATCCCCTCTCTCTCCTCCCCTCCTCCTCCTCCTCTCCTTCCTCCTCCTCCTCCCCTCCCTCCTCTTCCTCCTCCTCCCCCTTCCTCCTCCTCCTCCTCCTCCTCCATCTCCTCCTCCCTCCTCCTCCTCCTCCTCCTCTCATCCGCCTCTCGTCTCCTCCTCCCTCCTCCTCCTCCTCCTCCTCCTCCTCCTCACCTCCTCCTCCGCCTCCTCCTCCTCTCCTCTCCTCCTCCGCCCCCCCCCACCGCCCCCCCCCAACCCCTCCTCCTGCTCCACCTCGCCCCTCCCATCTCCACCTTGCCCTCGCCCCCTCTCCCCCAAGCGGAGCCCGCGGCGACGCGGGCTCCCTGGCGCCGTGCGCGGCGGAGCACGCCCCTCGCCTCGTACGTGGTCCCCGCGTTCACCTCCCGGGTCTTGAGCAGGAGCTCCACGAATCTGTCGGCCAGCGGGGCAGCACGGGCGGCGGAGCCGCCCTCAAACCCTGTCGCGTCGTGGCGAAGCGACGGGCTCCTGCGGGGCAAGTTGCGGCCCCCCGGGGAAGCCGTACGCCCGTCAGACAGAGCTCGGAATGAAACGCCGACCTGGGGGAAGGGGTCGAGACGCACCAGCGTCGAGGGGAAGGACCGCACATGGAGGTGCCTGGGAGTCTGGAGGGGTTGTCTTTTGCCAGAAAGAGAAAGAGAGAGAGAGAGAGAGAGAGAGAGAGCTCCGCGAATCTGCCGGCGGCGAGGCGCACGGGTGACGTAACCTCTGGTCGCCGTGAGGGGCGGCCCCAGGCCTCCTCCCTCGGCCCCCCGGCCCGTGGGGGCAATCAGCAGCCGTCAAAACCTCCACAAGACAGACGGGGCTCGTTCCCGACACATCGCTCGCACTGCTTGCACTGAAGAGGTTCTTACTTCTGGGCTAAGGGATTGGGCTGGTGTGTCGGTCTGGCGGCTATGTGGGCACCGTCGCCGCCCGTGGAGTGGGCTTGTGTGTCGGTCTGGCGACTGTGTAGCCGCCGTCGCCGCCTCATCGCCGCCTCGTCGCCGCCTCGTCGTCTGGGCCTGGCTGTTGGTCCAGAGGCTACGCCGTCGCCGCCCCGTCGCCGCCTCGTTCCCGCACCGTCGCCGCCTACATTGCACAACGCAGATTGCGCCGCATTGACTGCACCGCATGGACTGCTTCACGCATATTCTCTTGCAGTGGAAAATTAGATTCTACCTCCCCCCCCCGACGGCCCGTTTTAAAGGTATTGCAATTGACACGTGGTTCTGCCCAATCATCCACTCTAAATCTGAATTCGGACCATCCCAGGCAGTCCTATGCATTCCAAACATCCTTTTGAAACAGGTGGGACGACATGCACACGCACGCGTCGTCGCCTGCGCCTGGCAAACATGATTCACCGTGGGTGTCGCAAGGATTCCAAAACCGAGCGTCCTGATATCATAAAAGTGGTTCTGCCGTAGGAATTCCTAATACCCTAAAAAAATTCCGTTCGCGTCTTTGCGAATCGTTGAAAAAACAAGTGCTTCTCCAACGTACTATCATAACATGCTACCTAAACGTGCCTGTCGCGAGATCATGTCGGAATCGTTCGAACGCCACTGCGCGCGTGCTGTCGCGAAAACGCCGTGCAACAAACGAGAAGAAAAGGTGCGCACACACGCGCGTCGTCGCGCGCGCATGCCGGAACCCTTCTAAAACCGGAGGTATCGCGAGGGGTTTAACATCGAATGTTCCTGACACCAAAAACATCACATGGTTTGGCAACACCTATGTTCCAAACAAAAACGGCGCGCGCTCTTACGAATTCTGAAGAGCACCGTCAATTTTCCAACATCGGAATGACAATTCACCAAACAGGCCTCTCGCGCCGCATGTCGAAATCATTCGGGCGCCCTTGCGCGCGTGCTGGGAGGAGGGTGCCACGATCCCTGTTAAATAATGCCATGCGGGTCACTCGCGCGCGTCGGCCGCGCGCACATGTCGAAATCTTTCCAAAACTTTTACCTCCGACGCGAAGACATCGTCATCGTTATCGGCGTGATCAACATTGGCACCGTCATTGGGCTTGCCGTAGTTATCGTCACCATCGTCACCATCATCGCTCTTGGCGTCACCGTGTCTACCCATGTCGACATCTCCATGGTACCGCGACCGCCCGAATCACTGACTCGCACTGGAGTGCCCGCTGGGATGTGCCTAGCGGTGAGCGCCACCGCGGCCGCGTCGGCCGCGCCAAACTAGCTGGCCGCTGTGCGCGCGACCATGCGCGCGCTAGCGCGGCCGCACAAATTCACAGATCAAACAGTCATCGCCACCGCATGGGTTTTGCGAGCCTGCTTGTGGGTGGGTGGGCGGGATGCTTGCGTGAGCATGAGCATTGAAAACCCAAGTTTGTTTCAAAACTAGCTGCACCACATGAATTGCACCATGATAGATTGCACCACGCCGATTGCATCACATCAACTCCACCACACAGATTGCGCACCGCAAAAACTGCGCACCACATAGGTTGCACCACGCAGATTGCACCACGTAGGTTCTCCCTTCTAAAAACAGAATAGACTCTACCCCCCCGGCGTTCGCCGCCCCCCTTTCGGGTATGCAAATCAAATATGATTCTGACCACATGTCCATCCGAACGATGAATTTACACGATCCCCGGGGAAACGGTATCGGTCCCACTGAGGTTCCCTTGAAAAAACCGTACGCGGGGACATCTGTTGTTTAACATAGCATTTCCCCACGAATCTCTTGCAAACAAGGGGACGAAGTGCACACGCGCGCGTCGTCGCGCGCGCATGCCGAAATCCTTCAAAAACCTCCGGTGCCGGAAGCATTTCGCAATCCAGTTTCCAAAAAAATCCACAACCTTCATCCCCGACAGGTAAACACCATCATCGTCAGCGGCGTGATCAGCATCGGCGCCAGCGCCGTCATTGGCCTTGCCGTCGTCATTGTCATCGTCGTGCCCAACATCGCTATTATCATGATTCGTCTCTGCCGTTGTCGATGTCTCCATGATACCGCGCCCGCACGGATCACCGATTCGCACAGAAGTGCCCGCGCGTCAGCGCGGCCTGCAAGACGCGCTGGGAAGTGCCCTGCGGTCAGCGTCAACGCGGCCACGTCGGTAGTGCCAGACTAACTGACCGATCTGCGCGCGAACCTGCGCGCGCTAGCGCGGCCGCAGCGATGCGCCATCCAGCGCCGAGCACTCATTGCAATCGCCGCCGCATTGGTTTTGCAGTCACCGCACTCGCCGCCGCCATGGGGCCACGAAGCGTGTGAGGGGTGTCGAAATGGGTGCGAAGGGCGCATGCGCACGCTGGCATGTGGGCCTTCGGTGGGACTCCGGATGGGGTCACGAAACGTGTGAGCGGTGTGCCAAAATGGCTGACTGGTTCGGAGGGCAGAGAGGCATGGGATGGCAGGAGGGAAGAGGAGAGGGGCGGGGGCAGCGAGAGTGAGTGAGGTGACGCCGGGCGCTGTCTCTTCCAAACGAGGACCCAAACACCACAGGCTGGCCGGAGGAACAAAAAACGGCCAACGCGCCAAGGATGAGAGGTCGCAGCGTGCGGGCGGTACCGCGCGGTGGGCGCGTCGTGCGCCGCCGCGGTGGGCGCGCCGTGGCCGCGCGCGGCGGCGCGGCGCGCCAGCGGTTCGGCGGCGCGCAAAGGGGGGGGCAGGGGGGGAGGGGGGAGGGCGTCTTGGAAGGAGGCCGCTTCTCAGAAGGCGTGGGCCTGACGTCTACAGAAGAGGCCCGCGGCTTCTGAGAAGCAGGGGTGCCTCGAAGAGGCCCTTCCCCCCTCCCCCTGAGGAGGAGGAGGAGGAAGAGGAGGAAGAGGAGGAGGAGGAGGAGGAGGAAGAAGAGTCAGAAGACTGCCCCCCCTCTGCGCGTGGCGGATCGGTGCCGCGGCTTGCCCGTGGAGCTGGGCCCTCTTCGCGCCGAGGGCTGCAGGCGAGGTGCTTGGCCTCCCCGGTCTCCCGGAGCTGCGGGTCTAGCGGCAGGGGGGGGACAGGCCCGACCTAAGGCTCGTGTCGTGACGACCCAGGCGTTGCTTCCTGACCCCGCGGGGATCGTTCAACCTTGAACGATTGGCCTTTTCCGAACGATTTGCCTTTTCTGAAACGTCATCGACCGATTCTGGGTCGCCAGCTGCGTTCAACGTTGAACGCGTCGGGGATTTTCTGACCCGGGTCAATACAGACCTGGGTCAGCCATGCCTTGCAGAATCCTGCAGTATCCTGCACCCAAACCGGGTCAACGCGAAGGATTTTGCAGGATCCTGTAGGATCCTGCACCCAAGCCAGGGTCAATGCGACCCTGGCCCTGCAGGATCCTGCTGCAAAATCGAGCGCTCTGGCTGACCCCCGTTTGCATTGACCCCCGTCTCAAGGCTCCCGAACGCGGGCGGCGGGGTCGCCGCCAGTCGACACGACGGGAACCTTCCGTAGGGAAGGGGCACGTCGATCTGGAATCGGCGATGCATCGCCGATTGATCGGAGATCGGCCCCCGATGGCACATCCTCACCTTCATGGGCGGGGTGAGGCTATCAGACCCCATCGGCGATCCATGGGTGATTGGAAATCGATGCAACCACTCTACACGTCGTTTATTCCTAATCGTGCTCATTTCTCATTGTGCTCGTTGCTAATTCTTCCTGGCCCCCTGGTGGCCAGGAAGAGGCCCAGGACAGAACAATCAGCAATGAAAGGATCCATCGTTTCCGCACGAGGGGCGGCAGAGAAGGCGGCCGGGCCCCCGAGGGCCCGGCGGGGGACCCGGACTCGGGCTCGTGCACCTGTCACGGGAGGGCCCGTGGGGGCCCAGCAGCGTGGCGCGCGGCGCCGCGCGGCTGCACGACCCAAAGCAACAGCGAATCTCGGCGGTGGACAAACCTCCTTTTAGTAAACCACCCTTTAGTGAAAACGGCCTAGGACCGAAACCGACGGACCTGGACCCGCAGAAATAATGGCTGCGACGCCCTCTCGCGAACCGAAAATGGCCAATTCAGTACTCGACGTGTCAGGGTAGGAGGTCTATCCAACTCCGAGAATCAGTGTAAAAAGCTGAATGAGAGTGAAACGCGCCAGGTGGGCGGGCCCTGGTGGAGGCACAGGTCGACACAAACCGGGCGTCGGAGGTGCGGGCTGCCCGCGGCGCCAGGCCGGTCCCTGCCGTCCAGCCTCGCTGCTTCGTGCGCGCAGGGCCCCCCCCCGCATCCCGACGCCCCGGTCCTGGGCGCTGGTTTCCAGCAGCGCGTGGATCGTTCGACCTCGGACGATCGCGGCCTCCCGATGCCACAGATCGTTCCATTTCGGCCCAATCCACCCCGCCGGCGGCGTGCAACCTGGAACGGCTGCACTGTAGGGTCGCCGTCGTGTAAAGCGGGGGTGGGGGTAGTCATTGGCGGCGCGCACAAGGGGCTATAGGGGGAGGGGGGAGGGCGTCTTGGAAGGAGGCTGCTTCCTCAGAAGGCGCCGGCCTTACATCTGCCGAGGAGGCCCGCGCCTTCTAAGGAGCAGGGGCGCTTCTGAGAAGCCCTCCCCCCTCCCCCCCCCCCCCTGCGCGTGGCCGAGGTTAGTAAGGGGGGGCTCGCGAATCAGCTCACGTGGCCGACTTCCCCGGGCGCCTCCCGGCGCCCGGGGGCGCTCACGCATCGAGGAAGGGCGCCCGTCGGCGGGGTCCGATCCAGCTGCGCGCCGCAGACTTCGCAAGCCCGCGGTTCCCTATCCCCTCCCCTGCTTCGTCCGACCCGGCGGTGGGGCCTGGATGCCCAGGGGCGACGCTCCTCGCCGCTTTGGAGCCCCCTCGACGTGGGGGAAGCCTGCGAGCAGGTCGCACCTCGCTCCTCCCGCTCCTCGTCCCCCTCCTCCTCCTCCTCCTCCTCCTCCTCCTCCTCCTCCTCCTCCTCCTCCTCCTCCTCCTCCTCCTCCTCCTCCTCCTCCTCCTCCCCGAGGGCGCCGGCAGCGGAGCTGGCGGCAGACTGCCCCCCCCATGGAGCACCCAGAGGGAGTCGTCGGCGCGTCGGGGCCTGACGCGTGCCTTCTCCGCGTCCTCCTTGGCCGCGTCGTCGCTGCTGCCTCGCCCGCGCCCGCGCCCGCACCCGCGCCTTCGTCGTCGTCGTCGTCGTCGTCGTCGTCGTCGTCGTCGTCGTCGTCGTCGTAGTCGTCGTCGTCGTCGTCGTCGTCGTCGTCGTAGTCGTCGTAGTCGCCGCAGCCGCCGCCCGCGCCCGCCGTTGCCGTCCGCCGCCGCCGCCGCCGTCGTCGTCGTCGTCGCCGTCGTCGCCGTCGCCGCCGTCGTCGCCGCCGTCGCCGTCGTCGTAGCTGCCGTCGTCGTGGCTGCAATCGTCGCCACCGCCGTCGCTGTCGTGGTCGTCGTCGGCGCCCCTGTCGAGGTCGTCGTCGCTGTGGGGACTCGGCGGGCGTGCCGGCCGGCGCCCGCCGCCCTCCTGCTGGGCGCCCCCTCCTGCTCGCCGTGCCTCGCCTGGGACGCCCGGCAAGGCGCACCCAGGGACGTGGGGCGAAGAGGGTGGGCCTTATGAGAGGCGAGGAGCGCATACACACAGAGCTTAAACATATACGTGCGTGATGTGTTTGCTTGCATGCCTTATCGCATTGCTCATATTCTTGTGCTTCTATAATGTCATGGGCTCATAGCTTAGACCATGCTTTTCTCCTTACACCCCCCTAACGTAGCCAATCCCTGCCCTAACCTGACCCAGGCCCTGTCGACACTGCGCCAAAGCTAACCTGACCCATTAAAGTTGACGTGGCCAACGGCTCGGCGACACCAGTGTGTCACGCGCGCGCTGTAGCAAATGATGCATTATAATGGATCGGCACAGCAAAATGCAATGCGAAAGTGCCAACTGTACCACTAATCCCTATTCGTTTCCAATGAAGAATGTGGCCGGCGCTGAAGCGAGAGCAGCTTTCGCAATCATGGATGTGGCTGGCGCTGCGGCGAGAGCAACAGTCTCAATCATGGATTTGGCCGGCGCTGGGGCGAGAACAGCTTCCGCAATCGTGGATGTGGCTGGCGCTGTGGCAAGAGTAAGTGTCGTAATTGTGGGTGTGGCCGGCGCTGAAGCGACAGCAACATTTGCAATCATGGATGTGGCCGGCGCTAAGGCGAGGGCAACTTTCGCAATCGTGGATGTGGCCGGCGCTGCGGCGAGAGGAACATTCGTAATCGAGGATGCTGCCAGCGCCAAGGCCACAGCAGCACTCGCAAACATTGATGTGGCCAGCGCTGAGGCGAGAGCAACGCTCGCAATCATGGATATGGCCGGCGTTGGGGCGACAGCAGCCGTCGTAGTTGTGGATGTGGCTGGCGCTGAGTTGAGAGTGACGCTCGCACTGACGCATGTAGCCGGCACTGGAGCGAGAGCAACGGACGCAATCATTTACGTGGCGGGCGAAGATGCGAGAACAAGATTCGCACTCATGGATGTGGCCTGCGCTGCCAACCATGGGTGCGGCTTGGGTTAAGGCCAACACAAAATCGACATAGTGGATGTGGCCACTGGCGAGGCGAGAGTATCCGTCGCAATCGTGGGCGGGGTGTCCCACTGAACACGCGCGCTGGCTCTACCGAAACCAGCAGCGCCACTGAGACGAGCAGCGCCAGAAACAGCAACACCATGTGCAGCAGCAGCAACACCAAAGCCAACGTCAGCAGAAATAGTAGTGCAAGCCACACAAGCGATTCCACCAGTACCTCTCTGACCAAGACGACAGCAGACAGCACCACCACCACCACCACGCGCACCAACACCAGCGACACTAGCAGCACCAGTATGACGACCACGACGGGGAATGGAGCAGCAACACCACGCGACACAGCACAAGCGCCACTACCAGCAACATTCTGACCACAACGACAGCAAACAGCAACGCCAAATGCAGCAGCACCAGCGCCACCTGCAGCGCCACAGTGACGAACACGACCGGGAGCAACAACGCCACGTGGAGCAACTTAAACGCAACCAGCAGTACCAGCGTGACCAGCACGACGAGAAGCAGCAACACTTCACTCACCAGCACACGCGCAAGGAGCAACACCGCCGTGACGCGCAGGACAAGATCCAGGAGCACGACACGCGCCAACGCAAGCACCACCAACAGCACCACTGTAATCAGCACGACGAAGAGCAGCAACACTACGCGCAGCAACACAACCGCCAACAGCAGTTCCACTAGAACGAGCACGACGGGAACTAACAGCGCCAGGCGATTCGCGCTGGACTGCGCGAGCGCCCCCACCCCTCCGCAGGTCACACCAGCAGGGGGGGAGGCGTTCACTCCAACGCAAAGCGTCATGGCCCAGATCGTTCGAATGCAGTTTCGGACACCAGACGTGCCTTTTGAAGGCGGCGCGCAGAGGGGGGCAGGCACAGGGGGGGGGGCGGCTCCTTAGAAGGAGACCGCTTCTTGGAAGGCGCCGGCCCCACATCTGCAGAGGAGGCCCGCGCTCTCTGAGAAGCAGGGGCGCTGCCGAGAAGCCTCCCGCGCCGGCCCCACACCTGCAGAGGAGGCCCGCGCTCTCCGAGAAGCAGCGGCGCTCCCAGGAAGCCTCCCGCCCCCCCCCCCCCCCTATTGAAGGCTCCCCCCTATTGAAGACCCCCCCCCCCTATTGAAGGCCCCCCCCCCTATTGAAAACACCCCTATTGAAGGCCCCCCCCTATTGAAGACCCCCCCCCTTCTGCGCGTGGCCGCAGGATGGATGCTGGGACGCGCCGCGCGGCACCCTCGGCGGCGCGGCCCTGCCAGCTGCCGCCCCACACGCCGAGGCGCAGGGCTCGACCTACACAGCGTGCTTCCTGCTCTCGTTTTGCGCTTTCGCCCTCCCCTCGCGCTGCCAGACCACACGCCTCCCAGTGTGCTTTCTGCTCTCGAAGTGTGCTTTCGCCCTCCCCTCACGCTGCTTCTTCGCTCCGCCCCTGCTGCAGAACGACGTGCAGACGAAGCCAGCCCACGAGACTTCGTGGAGGCACCGTCTATATAGGTCGAGCCCTGCCGAGGCGGTGCACTCCCCCGGCGACGGGGGGAGGGGTGCACGGTTTCCCCCGGAGCCGTCGGCCACCCGAGGAGGGGGAGGAGGAGGTGGAGAAGGGGGAGGGGGTGGGGGAGGAGATGGAGGGGGAGAGGGAGGAGGAGGAGGAGGAGGAGGAGGAGGAGGAGGAGGAGGAGGAGGAGGAGGTGGAGATGGAGATGGAGGGGGAGGAGGTGGAGGAGGAGGGAGGAGGAGGAGGAGGGGGAGGAGGAGGAGAGGAGGAGGAGGGGAGGAGGAGGAGGGACGAGAGGACGAGGAGGACGAGGACGAGGAGGGGAGGACGGAGGAGGAGGAGGAGGAGGAGGAGGAGGAGGAGGAGGAGGAGGAGGAGGAGGGAGGAGGAGGACGGGCCGCCTGAGCCCTTCGGAGAAGCCCTCCGGGAGGGGGTGGGCGGCCCGGCCCTCGAGCACAGGCCTGCACACGCCCGACGCCGCGCGGCCTCTGCCGACCTCGGCGGCCCTCCTCGCCCCCTGGCGGGCCCCCGCCCCGAGCTCCTCGGGAGCCCCGCTGTGGCCCGGGCCGGCGCGCTCCCCCGGCCCGCGAGCCGCTCGCTTTGCAGGCCCCCGCGGAGGCTTTCATTGAAGGGGCCCAGGGGCACACCACAAGGATACAGTTGGGGGCGTTGACCTAAGGAACCCTAAATAAGGAACGAGGCCCCTTTTTTCCATAAGTTAAACTTCGAGTTCCCATCGAAAACCTCAGGAAAACCTGAGGCAAGCTGCGAAACACGTAAGGAACACGGAGCCCCTCCCCAACGAAAAGGGTTCCTTCTTCAGGACCCCTACTGTACACTGTACACCCAACTCCCATGATGCCCCATACTTTCCATCTTTTCTGGGTTGCGTCTTCCCCCCCCCCCAGTGCCCATAGTTTCCCATCTTTCCCTGGGGATCGACGATTGATTGTGTCCGCATGTGTTGTTGCCCCTCCTGGTTCTACCCAGACCACCAACGTCATGTTTTTTTCGCGACGTCGACCGTCAGAGGTCCGGACCCATTCCCTGGGACCTGCTCTTCATCCCAAATCGTTTTCTGACGGTCCTGAGGCCCGGTGAGAGCCCCCTGAGACCGAAAATAGCGAAACACCGCCCGTCCTGATTTGATGTTTCATGACGCGAGGGGGTTCTGGGGGCAGAGAACAATGGATTGGGCCTGAAAAAAAACCGGTTCCCCACTGAGAGACGGGCTTTAGCTGCCCCGATACGCAACACGCAACACGCAGCGTACTGATACGGAGCTCAACACGTAGACTGAAAACGCAGGCGCAGACATGACGCGATACGTTCGTCAAAGCGTGGGCCAATAGGTTCAGCCAGCACGCAACATATTGACACGGACGTTTTGAGCACGGTACGTGCTGCATTCCAAAGCGGGCGTATCGAGGCAGCTATTCTGCTGTCACAGATACACGACACATGAGTGGAAACACCTGGCAACCGCTCCCTGCCGACGAGATGTCGCCCAGCCCCTGGGGTGGCACAACCCTTCCCTGCCGACGAATGTCGCTCCCCTCCTCCCCCCTCCTCCCTAAAACAGGGCTAGGATCGGGATAAATCGCTCCAGAGCGTTCCGGAGCGCTCTCAGAGCGTTCTGGAACGCTCTGGAGCGGCCGCGGCGCCCAATACATCCTCCAAACCCACCGATTCTCAGAGATTTCGAGTTATCCCGATCCGATTTTGTCCCGATCTTCGCGTCGTTTTACTCCCCTCCTCCCCCCCATTTTTTCCTCCGGCACAGCGCTCGTGCGGTGCCAGCGGCTCCGGTGGAAGGCAGCTCCCCTCCACCATGCACGAGCACGAGCAACGGGGGTGCCACGGGCGGCCAGCGGGTCCGCGGCGGGCGGCTGCACCAGGGCCAGGCGAAGCCGGGGACGCAGTGCGGCCGAGGAGCTCGGCGGCGCAGGGCGACACCGCCACCAGCGCGAGGCGCCGAGGCTGTGGATGCCACGACAGTGGACGCCCTAACAATCCTATCATTGAACTTAGAATGTGCTCAAAATGTAAGAAAATGTCCCAAACTTGTATTAAGCATATTTTTTTAAACATGTATGAAACATGTTGAACAAGTGTCTGAGACATCTGGCAATTATTTGGCAACATGCTTCTTCTCCATTGATCGTCCTCCACAACGCCGAGGATGATCCTCCTGGTGGTGTGATCCCCCCCCTCTCGCTCGAGGCATCCCCGATCCCCAGCTCGGGAAGGCATCTACTAGAAGAAAGAAACGTCACCATACACATAAAGTTTGCGCGCTTGGCGCGGATTTCTTGGATCCGCGCTGGACCCCCCTCCCCGGCGCGCGGAGCGCGCCAAGGGAGGCGCCGCCAGGGGGCCCGGCGCGGATCGGAGAAATCCGTGCAGAGCGCCACAGGCTTATGTTCATGCAATTGTTCCTTCATCGTTCTGCGGGACTGGGGAAACCAAAAGGCACCGATCCCGCTACTCCCCGGACCTCTCCTGGGGTGCGTTCTGACCAAGACTTCGACGCGAATCCGGCGGTGGCGACGACGGAGGCCCAGGAGGCCCAAAAAGGGGAACGCGAGGGCTGGCCATCGCTCGGACGTCCATTCCCCATGCCTTCTCCGGTCTCCTGCGTGGCTTTCTCGCAGGATGATGCGGGATGCTCCATCATAACCCCCGCCGAGAAAAAGTGCACACGCCCGAGCGATACCGAGAGGGGAGGGGGTATTTGGACGCCCGAAATGGGTACGGAAACAATGGGCACAATGCCCAACAACAAATGTTGCCCCAAACCAACAGCGGGCGCTGTTGGGCAGGCGGCCTTCTCTCAGGTGGACACAGGCCGTGGCGGCGCGGACAGCGAGTCCTGGTTCAAAATGAACAGGATGTGCTGTTGGGCATTGTGCCCATTCTTTCCGTACCCATTTCGTTCGTGCAGAGGGTAGAGGCCTGGGTACCTTTATGTTCCTCCTCGGAGGGGCGGGGGGCGGGGGCGGGGACGGGGACCACCGAGCCGAGAGGCAACTGCGGGGACGGGGCGCGCCGCCGGGCGGGGCACCAGGAGGAGGGCCCACGGAAGGGCGGCCCGAGCCCGGGCGCGCCGCCCGAGGCCGGGCGAGCACAGGGCAGTTTTTAATACATGCTTTTTTAAATTTGGATTTTTAGTACAGGATTCATTTATGAGTAAATATATATATATATATATATATGCATGAGCTCCCCGTTGTTTTGAATAGTACCCCCCTGCATGTTGAATACATGATCCGCACGCGGAGCATGTTAAAAAACGACACTATAGGCCACCGCTTGCCCGGCGCCGCTCGAGGAGGAGGAGCAGGAGGAGGCAGAAGTGGCTCGGGCCTGCGGGGGGCGATAGGCAGAGTGTGGCTCCGGAGACGAGGCTTGTTTTATTTTTGCGGGGCTCTTCACATGAGGCCAGAACGCCCGAGAGTGTCGGAGGCCAACCGCCTGCAGACAGCGTTCATGGCGTGCTTGCGCTGGAAGAGCGACATGTTTTTTTGTTCTGCGAGGCTCTTCATTGAGGCCAGACGCCCGAGAGTGTCAGAGGCCAACCGCCTGCAGACAGCGTTCATGGCGTGCTTGCGCTGAAAGAGCGACATCTGTTCTAGAGACGAGACTACTGAGCCAGATCAGCATGCTGAAAACACTGGTGCACTCTAAACGCTTTGCTGAGACATCGGACGTGCACACTAAACGTTTTTGTCTAAGACATCAGAAGTGCACGCTAGACGCTGAGTAACCGCGTATAGAGTGCACCTACTGCGACGTGCACTATACGCTGGCCGAATAGCGTGCACATCAAATTCTCAACGTGCTCTCTATATACGGCGATCTGCGCGCATATGCGATGGAACCTGTGTGGTGCCGTGCTTGAGGTAAATCGATGTGGTGCAACGGATGGGATTTAACTCATTTTGTGCACGCTATGGGGCGCAAGCTTTGCCGTGCAAAGAATTTATGCACGCATGTGGTGTGAGCTATGTGGTGTCGGGGATTTTCTGACCCGGGCCAATCCAGACCCGGGTCAGTCAGGCCTTGCAGGATCTTGCACAGGGTGCAGGATCCCGCAGGATGCTGCGCCCAAGCCCGGGTCAATGCAACCCTGGAGCTGCAGGATCCTGCAAGATAAGGCGCTTCGATTGACCCCCGTTTGCATTGACCCCCGCCTCTTGAGCCTCGACGGTGCCGTCCATGTGCGCATCTGGAAGCGCCAACCACCGCACGGGGTGCGCTCGTGAGTCGCCCAGGGGCGGGCACCGGCCGACCACTCGGGAACGCGAAGTAGCCAGCGCACATAATGCCCGCGAGGGGACAACTGGCGGGCACCAGCGCAAACCCGGCACCCCCATCCAATGGCTTACAAGCGCAGGTAACGACCCTAAGTGCACACGTTGTTTGGGGACGGACTCGCGGCCACAAGATAGCAATGGGCACTCAGAACTTCCCAACGTTTCCCAGCCAGAACCATTCGCGATCACCTCCCGAGAACTTGAAATTGGCCACGACGCGCCAGTCACTGACTGCCAGCAGCGCTCTGCATGTGGGCGCTCCCTCGCACGAAACGTGTGTTGCATGCAGCGGCAACGGGGTCTCAGGCCAGCCCTCTGTCTGGCGGAAGAGCTGCTCCAGCGCATACAACTGTTCGTTCCCCCCCCCCAGTCTTGAACTTCAGCTTCCTAGCCTGCTGTGTCGGGGAATACTCCAGATTTCGTAATAAAAGGGAGGGGGTCTCAACCCTCCCAGACGAAAAGTTTTAGACCCCCCCCGTGGGAGAACCCTCCAAAACATCGTCCCCAGACCCCCCCAGACCCTCTAAGATAACCTGGAAGAGACCCCCCCCCCGAAATGAGACCCCCCTCCCTTTTATTACGAAATCTGGAGTACCCGCACTCAAGATTCCTCGAATCCAATCGAAAACGTGCCCCCTCTTGTCCGCCTTCCGCCGTCGCCCAGAACTTCTTCACTGCTCCCTGCGCCGCGCTCCTGCAGGCGGCTTTGCTGTCGCCCTCCCCGCTGGACTTCTTGTCGCGCGTGATAGTCACATGTGGTTGAAAGGAAACTGGGACACACAAATAAATACACACAAATAAAAATATCCCCATATTTTCCAATATTTTCTGGGTTTCTGTCTTTTCCCCCACTTCCCATATTTTCCCATATTTTCTGGGGAATCGAGGATTAATTGTGTCTGTGTGTTTCTTTTCCTCCTGATTCTTGTCGCGCGTGATACTCACATGAGGTCCCGTCCCATTTTCGCTTCCCCACTCTGCAAAATACTTGCGCATCGCGCTTGTCTCCAACGCAGGCTCTCTTCCCTGGTACTCGACGCATTTCTTCCAGAACCCGACCGGCACCGCGTAGATCTGGCAGTGACCCTTGTCCCCTAAGCCGCGCACTTCAGCCATAAGGGATTCACTTTCGACCATCTGGACTTTTCCTCCCGGACGCGAGCCGACGGAGCATGCGCTGCACTCGTAGATGGCCTATGCTGCAGAAGCCCTGCCGTGGCCACGACAAGACCGACGACCGTGGCGGCAAATCCAAGCCGCAGTCTGCCGACGCGAGGCTCAGCCGGCGGCGCGCCTGCGCTCAGACTTCCCTCGTGCCCAAGCCGCAATCTGCCGACGCGAGGCTCAGTCGGCGGCGCGCCTGCGCTCAGACTTCCCTCGTGCTCGAACGGCACGTGCTCGCCGGGCGCTGCCATGCGGGAGCTCCCTCCGAGAGGCTCCCCACGCCTCCGACGGCTCCCTCGCTCCACCCCGCGGGCCCCCAGAGCTCTCGCCCCTTCTCTCGGACAAGGGGGGAGAGGGAGGCGAGGGAGGCGAGGGAGGCGAGGGAGGCGAGGGATGCCTTCAAAGAGGGGGGCAGCCTCTTGGAAGGGCCCTCTCGGTGGCGGCTCTTCGCCCTGGATCAGTGTTCGATGGCCCAGAAGCCAGGGGAGCATGCCCCAGAGGCTGGAACCGACGAAGGACGCCAGGGTTGGAACGAATCATCCGCCGGGGGCCTGGGCAACAAGCACGACCTCCGAAGTCTTGCCCTCGGCCCTTCACGAGGATCGTGAAGGGATTTCGAATGTCTTCAAACGATGATTGGACGCCTTCGGCCCTTTTCGGGCCTCTGGGGGCCTCCAGGGACCTCCCCGGGGTCAGGATCCGGGGCGGGAGCTAAAACTTACCAACCAGGATTGGAGCGAGGCATCCGCCAGAAGCCTGGGCAACAAGCGCGAACGAGCGGGCCCAAAGCGGGACTGCAGCCCGAGCGAGGCAATGCCTCGGGGCCGAACAGCTGCAGGCGGGCGACGCATCCCACTTGGTGCGCATTCTCCCCCCTGTTCCTCCTTCTCCTCCTCCTCCTCCTCCTCCTCCTCCTCCTCCTCCTCATCATCATCATCATCATCATCATCATCAGCATCAGCATCAGCATCAGCATCATCATCATCATCATCATCATCATCATCATCATCATCATCATCATCATCATCATCATCATCATCATCATCATCATCATCATCATCATCATCATCATAATCATCCTCTTCCTCCTATTCCTCCTTTGGCTCGTCCTTCCATCAAAAACGGCCCCTGGGCCTGTCCTGCCGCCCCCTTCAACAAAAATAGCCAGTGCTTCAGCTCTGCACTTGCGCCCCTGCACCCTCCAAGTCCAACCTTCACTATGCTGTCGACGTTCGCCGACCCCTCCCAATCACAGCAACAAGATGGAGGCGGGAAGGGATCAAGAGGCACCAGTTCATCTTCGGTCGGGCGCGTCATGAGCACGATTTCGAGGCGGATCCAGCCGTGGCGACGAGGGCGTCTCTGGAGGCATCGAAAGGATGGACTAGTACTGGCACCCATCGTTCGGAAGAAGTTGGTGGAAACACGTAGTAGGACAGCCCCGAACGTAGGTTTAGTTTCCGCCCGCCACCTGAAAAGGAAGGAATGCGGACAACTGTTCAACGCTTGAGAATGGATGGCGCCAAAAGTATGTCGGGTGGAACCTGGGAGCCCAGAAGCAAGAAGCAAGGAATCTACTAGCCAACGTGGACCCCAAACCGTGTGTTTCGAACTATATGTTGTGCAAGAGATGTGGAACGATACCCATCGGCCGGAAGAAGTAGGTCGACACATGAAGCAGGAAGGCGTTGGAGGCAGATTGGAGTCTCCGCCCGCCACCTCAAGAGAGGACGGAACAGGTGCAGCCACTCGATCGCCGAAGCAGGAAGGCGCTCCAAGCAGCCGGGACTTCCTGGGAACCCCGAGGCTGCCCGCCTTCGACGACCGATGGGCACACGTGCTGCAGCCCGTGCGTGCTGCGCCAGCCTGTGCGGCGCAGCCCCTGCCTGCGCCTCCCCGAGACTCGGCGGCGCGCCCCGTCGGAACGGGGGCCGAGCCTCCCCGCCGGGGCGGCGGGGACCTCTCGGACGCGCCCCGCGGCCCTCCGAAGGAGCAGCCCTGCGCCGTCGCGCGGAGAAGGCTCGGGCAGCTCCTCGGGCCGGGCCCGCGGGCCTGCCGAGAGGCCCCCCGCGGGGAGGCCCGCGCCCCTCGCGATGCCTTCCCTCCCCCGGGCGCGCCGCCGAGTGTCCGAGCCTCCTCGCGGCGCTGGCCATCGCTCGGGAGGCCATTCCCTGTGCTCTTTTGGGTCTCGTGCGTGGTTTTTTTTTTTTTTCGCAGGATGATATCCGGGATGCTCCTCAACAGTAAGCCCCGCCGAGAAGAAATGTGCACGCGTCCGAACGGCGGCGGCCGCGCGGGCACGGCGGCGGCGGCGCCCCCCGGCAGGTCGGCGGCTCGAGAGGTGGCGCCCCCCTTGGAGGCCGGGGGTCCCGAGGGCGGGGCGCCTCTCGGACAGCGCAAGGTCCGCCCTGGGAGCCCCTCGCCGATCCTCGGGCCCCCCCCCCACGCCTCGGGACGCCCCGTCGGGGCGACGAGAGGCGAGGCGGGCTCTGCGCGAGGCGGCGTGGCGCGACCCTGCGCGAGACGGCCTGCGCGGGCCGCTGTGGCGAGGGGCCGCTGCCGTGGAGACGAGGGCGCTCACTCGCGCGACCCTGCGCGGGCAGCCGACCCAGACCCCCGACGTCGTGCTGTTTCCACGACGTCGACCCCCAGCGGTCTCGACCCATTGCCCATGGCCGGCTCCTCATCCTGCATCGTCTTGGAGGGTCCCGAGGCCCGGTCGGGGCCCGCAGAGGCCGATCATGGCGAAAAACCTCCCGTCGTGGTTGTTTCAAGACTCGAGGGGGTCTGGGTCGGCAGCAGCAACCGCAAAGGTCGGAGGAGACGAACCCGTGTTCTTCCGCCGCTCTTCTTGGCGGCGCGCGAAAGGGGGTGGGCGGAAGGGGGGAAGGCTTCTTAGAAGCACCCTGCTTCTTAGAAGGCCCCGGCCTTACATCTACAGATAAGGCCGGCGCCTTCCGAGAAACAGGGGTGCTTCTCAGAAGCCTCCCCCCCCTCTCCCCCACATTGCATGAAATTAGTTGATGTTTATTATTGTGTTTGCTTGTTTCGGACAGCTTCCTAACGATCCAAGCAGTCGTCAGGTGAGGCGAGCCCCGTCCATCCAGCGCCGCTCGAGCGCGATCTTATTTTCAGAAAGCGGTAGGAGGCTCGAAATTTAAGATTTCCGATCGCACCCCCCTCTGCGCGTGGCCGCTCCTCCTCGAACCAGCGAGAAGCCCCCCCCCCCTTCCCCCCCCCCTCCCCCCCCCTTCCCCTCCGTCGGAGGCCGCGCCGCGGCGCCGCGCGGGGGCGCGGGCGCGGCGCGGGCCGCGCGGTCCGCCCCCCCCCCCCCCCCACCCCCCCCCTACAGAGTGGGCAGGAGGCCTCAGCCCTCGGGAAGCAGCCGCGGGCCCGACCACGCCTCGCGGGGCCCTGCAGCGGCGGCGGGAGAGATCTTGCTCCGCAGTGGCCCAGACCCCCCCGCCCCTCCAAGCCATGACACGAAGCGCGAAGGGGGGGGGGGGGGGAGCTATCTTCGGCCTCTTGGGGGGGGGGCCCTCACAGGGCCTCGGGGCCAGCCGCAAAACTCAGGGCCCCGTAGACCCAGAAATGCTAGGCCAGGACATCCAACATCCCCCGAACCCTTTTTTTCTCCAGACGGCGGCACGAAACAAATACTGCACTGCAACACTTCCAGAATAAACCTGGACACAGGCCCTATAAACGCCTGCAGACCCCCTAAAACCCTGACAGAAACCCGAGTCCTGCAGTGCAGCAGACAACAAAATGCACTGGACGATCCAATCGGAAAATTGCAGGACTTGCCGACATCCTGCTCGAACTAGAACGACTCATGATGACAAGCCGGTCCCGGGGAAGGGGTCGCGACCTCTGGGGGTCGACGTCGTGAAAAACTCATGGCGTCGGGGGTCTTGGGGCGAAATTCTTGGGGCACCGTCTCTGTCAATCTGGCAGGGCCCCACGGTGCGCTGGAGGGCTTCCGTGGGGCTCCCCTCAGGGCCCTCGGGGGAGGAGAACCTTCCGAGGGGGCACTTGCTGGCGGGCCAGTCTCGTATACTTGACATGTCTGCTGCATCCTCTTGGACACGACCAAAAGAGGGAGGAGGGGGAGGAGGAGGAGGAGGAGGAGGAGGAGGAGGAGGAGGAGGAGGAGGATGAGGAGGAGTGAGAGGAGGAGGTGTGGCCAATGGGGAGGTTGGCGAATCAACTCACGCAGCTGGCTCTTTGGGCGCCGCCGGGCGCCTCCTGGCGCCAAGGTGTACCGAAGAAAGCGCCTGCCAGCGGGGCCAAGCCAGCTGGTGCAACCATTGCACCCCCTTTTCCCGAACCTTAGGTTGGGCATGTCCTGCTACAGGCGGATTTTAAACGAAAAGTAGAAACGCCCCCTTCGTCCCCCCCTCCTCCTCCTCATCCTCCTCCTCCTCCTCCTCTCCTCCTCCTCCTCCTCCGTCTCTTCCTCCTTCATCGCTTCCTCCTGCGTACAGTAAATTGACTCGAAGGGTTTCCCCTTCCCTTTCTTCCCTTCCCTGGTCGGGGGGGGGGCCCGGGAGACACACGTGGGCGTCCCGGGGGGGGTCCTGGGGGGGGTCCCCGGGGGTGGGTCCCGGGTCAGAATACCACCTCCCTCCTCCTCCTCCTGGGCGTTGTTTGCCACATTTTCCATATCCTTTTCGTTTGTCTCCTCCCCCTCCTCCTCCTCCTCCTCCTCCACCTCCTCCTCCTCCGCCTCCTCCTCTCTCCTCCTCCTCCTCCTCCTCCGCCTTCTCTCCTCCTCCTCTCCTCCCCTCCTCCTCCTCCGACGGCCAGGGGGGGGGGGTCCCGGGGGAAACCCGGGGGGGGGTCCCAGGGGGGGTTCCAGGGGTGGTCTGGGGGGGGTCCCGGGTCAGAATACCACCTCCCTCCTCCTCCTGGGCGTCTTTTGCTACCTTTTCCATATCCTGTTCGTTTGTCTCCTCCTCCTGCTCATCCTCTTCCTCTTCCTCTTCCTCCTCCTCCTCCGGCCAGGGGGGGGGGGGCGGAGGAAACCCGGGGCCCGGGGGGTCCTGGGGGGTGTCCCAGGGGGGGTCCTTGGGGGGGGTCCCGGGTCAGAATACCACCTCCCTCGTCCTCCTCCTGGGTGTCTTTTGCCACCTTTTCCATCTCCTTTTCGTTTGTCTCCTCCTCCTCCTCCTCGTCCTCCTCGTCCTCCTCCTCCTCCTTCTCACACACTTCCTCCGCCTACCCTGTCACGCTTTCCTTTAGCTCCTTCCTGTGATCACACATCACGTCGCCATCGACGGCCACAACCTTCAGGGCGGCGGCACCGGCCGTAAGGCCTTCACAATAGAAAACAAATCGCCCTAGACTATTTTTGACTATCTTTTAGTATTCTCCTGTAGAGGGACATGCCCGACTTAACCCGAACCCCCCCTTTCCGTCCGACCGGGTCCTCCGCCTGGCCAGGATCGGTGAGGTGGTCTGTTGCGCTGTTCTGGCTGGCATCCATTGTCCACCACGCTGTGCCAACCGCTTCGAGCACGCGAGCTGGCACCGCACCGTGGCGCGCTCTCTGGTCGTTCCTGATACCAACTCTCATGTAGTCAGCTGATGCCCCCGAATTCTTGGCTTTGTTCAGAGGCAGGGAGGGGGGGGCTCAGAGAGCAGGGAGGTTCAAGATTCGAGGGTCCGGGTTTGCCGAAGTTTGGGGCCTCCGGGGGCGCCCTCCCTGCCACGGCTGGATTCCGATCGAATCGCAGCACAGGACGAATCAGGTCGATGTTGCGCCGGTGCAGAGAAGGAGGAGGAGGAGGAGGAGGAGGAGGAGGAGGAGGAGGAGGAGGAGGTTGAGGACGAATAATAAGAATAAGACGAAGACGAAGAAGAGGAGGAGGAGGAGGACGTTTCGGACCCTTCTGACCCTATTTTGGCGCCCTCGTCGCCGCGCCTAGGAGGAGAGGAAGAGACAACGCCATAAACACAAACTTTTGGCGCTCCGCGCCGATCTCTTGGATCTGCGCTGTACCCCCCCTCCCTAGCGCGCGGAGCGCGAGAGGGGCGGCGTCGGAGGCGCTGCCCGGGGGGGGTGGGGAGGGCCAGCGCCGCTCGAAGAGACCCGCGCGGGGAGCGCCAACAGTTGATGCTTCTGGCGTGTTCTTGCTTCCTCGGAGGGAGGGAGGGAAGCAGGGACGACGACCCCCCGGCAGTCAGGATATCGGGGAGGCAGGCCCCCGACGTCGTGCTTTTTGTTATGGCGTCGACCCCAGGAAGGTCTGGACCTGCTTTCTGGGACCCGTGTTTCATCCTGCGTCGTTTTGTTGACGGTCCCGACGCCCGGATGAAACACCTCCCGTCGTGATTTGCTCGTGACTCAAGGGCGTCTGGGGGGGAGGAAGGTCCGAGGATCGAGAGCCCAAACTCTCAGAGGCGCCTTGGGCTCCCTTCCTCCTCGGGCCTCGGGGAGACATTTTTTCCGGTCCTTGGAGAGCGCTGCGGGCCGAGGCGGATCGAGGGAGTGCTTCGGGGATCGAGGCTCTGAGACTCGAGGTCGAGGATCGAAGCTTTGAGGATCGAGGGTAACGAAGGGTCGGGTTCGAGGTTCGAGGCCTCTGAGGTTTTGAACATCGAGGTCGAGGATCGAACCTTCGAGGATCGAGGATCATGAGGGATCGGGTTCTGGTTCGAGCTTCGGGGCTTCGAACGCTTCGGACCCTGCCTGGGCCTCCTGTGGCGGCCTCCTGTGGCGGCCTCCTCGCCGCAAGTGGATCCGCCTCGAGGGGTCTGGTCGGAGCGGACCAGGAACGAGTCCTGAGCTTACTTTGTCATCTCGGATCCCAGACTAAGACAGGCACCAAAGAAACAATATCGAAGCTGCTCCCGAGCGTTTTTCACGGTTCGGGATCCCGGGGGGGGGAGGTCCCTGCGATGCCAAAAACGGCGAAACGCCGCAGGACCTTCCCAGAGATCCGATTTCGCGTTTTTTTTTCAATGCGGCCCACCCCCCAGAAGTCTCGACCCACTCCCCGGAACCGCTTTTCCATCCTGAATCGTTTCTCACGGTCCCGCAGCCTGGCGAGGGCCTCCAGAGGCCGAAAACGGCGAAAAACCTCCGTCTGGATTTTTGTTTCAGCACGTTGGATCTCTGCGTTTGTTTCAGCACCCTTCTTCTGCACGGAGGCCCGGAAGCGCTGCCTCCAGACCTCTCTCGGCGAGCGCGCTCTGCCTGGGACTTCGAGGAGGGGAACCTGGCCCTGGCGAGGACGAGCCTTCCCGACGGCCCCGGCAACATCGGGAAGCACACCCGAACGCCTCCGAGCCGTGATCCTCGAGGTGTTCGTGAACAACGACGACGGCGACGGCGCGGGCGACGACGACGACGAGGGACGACGACGACGACGATGGACGACGACAAAGACGTCGACGACGACGACGACGACGACGAACGACGAGGACGACGACGACGCCGACGACGCCGACGATGGACTACGACGACGACGTCGACGACGACGACGACGACGACGACGACGAACGACGACGACGACGACGACGACGATGGACGACGACGAGGGACGACGACGAGGGACGACGACGATGGACGACGACGACGCCGACGATGGACGACGACGACGACGAACGACGACGACGACGACGCCGACGATGGACGACGACGAGGGACAACGACGAAGACGACGACGACGACGACGACCGATGACGACGACGACGACGACGACGACGACGACGACGACGACGACGACGACGACGACGACGACGGACGCCGCCGACGACGACGGACGCCGCTGACGACGACCACGACGACGACGACGACAACGAAAACGATGACGACGATAGACGATGGACCACGGCTGGCGGATTCCCTTGGTCGCCGCTGCTGCGGTGGCAACTCATGGGAGCCTCCCATACCATCTTGTCGGCTCTTACCAATCGACGCTGATCGACGCTAAATCGACGCTAATCGACGCTAGCCGACCCTAGATCGACGCCAATCGACGCAAAACATCTGCGCTATCTCATCGACTTTCGGAGGCTGAGCGGCGCCAGCCGACGCTGAAGACGGAATTGAGAAGGCAGACCAGGCTCTCATGCTTTGCCGCCGAAGGCGCTGCACCTCCCATACAGGGCAGTTTTTAATCCATCGGATGTTATAATTTCAGGATTTATCATACATGACTTGATTTATGAATAACTTTATGCATGAACTCATCGTTGTGTTTAGCACTAAACCCCTGAACTTTTAATACATGATCCGCACGCGGAGCATGTATCAAAAACGGAACAATAAGTGCTCATCCTCGCCTCACGTGCTCCTCCTCGGACCGAGGAGGTTCTTCCCGTCGTGATCCTTCCGCGACGCTAGGGATCTGCGCCGTTCAAGGTGTCACAGTCGGAGAGCGGCTGATTTCTAAGTCTGGCCATTTGTACTGGCACTCGGACCGAGGAGACAGGCAACACGCAGATGATGCCCGGAACCGAAGCATACAGAACACATCGAGGACCACACGCACGGCATAAACATAAACACCCGGAGGTCCGTGCGGACCTCCAAAACGTTCACGTCTATAATTACCGTTGCTGCTCCTCGAGTCAAGTACCCATCCTCGATGACGATTTTCACTGCGCGCCAGGTTCGTGTCGTGACGATCTCGGCGCTGGCTCCTGACACCGCGTGGATGGCTCAACCCTGAGCGATGGCTCAACCCTGGGAGCTCCTGGCGGTCCAAGACTTCGACCGCCAGGAGCTCGACCACAAGACGCCTTCCACAAACAAGAAACCCCCACCCTGAGGCCCCAGGACGCCCATGGATTCTTGGTGTGGGAACGTCGCGCTTTCTGCAGCGCAAGCATTGAAACCCGAGACACCCAGGGCACCCCGGAGGCGAGCAGGGTGTTTCTTGGCACGGGTCTCCGCTGCACTGGCCGCTTCGGCGCCGCTGACGGCGCTCCACCCTGAGCGCCCGCGGCGGGGGCGTCGCCTCGACCTTCACGCCCCGATATTCACGACCTTCGCGAACCTGACGCGCGTAACGTCCCTGACCAACCAGCCTCGGCGCGTGACGCGACCCTGACCACCCAACCAGTCCAGGACGAGCCTGACGTGCGCAACGTCCCTGACCAACCTGACCACCCAACCAGTCCAGGACGAGCCTGACGTGCGCAACGTCCCTGACCAACCAACCAATCCAGGGCGTACCTGACCAACCTCGGTGCGTGACGCGCAACCTGACGTGCGTAACCTGGGACTGTCGTCGCCGCGTCGACACGAGGCGAACCTAACGTACGCACGTAACCATCCCTAAGACTGACACGCCCAAAGGGGATGGCAATCCTAAGGAGGCGCCCTCAGAAATCAAGGGGCCCTTAAGACTGGCATCGAGATCAGGTGATGCCGCTCATTGGGCTATGGATGTGTCGCCGCGCCGTTTGCTCTCGACGCGCCCAAGGGGACGACACCGACACCACGGCAAACCCACGGCAAGCCCTGCGACCCGCACCCCAAGCAGACGAAGCAGGGACAGCGGCAAACCCCAAGGCGAACCCGCCGCGCCCGAGGCGGCGTTTGCCCTGGTGGCCGAGGCGCCCTCCCCAAGACGCAAGACCACGCGTCGGAACAATCGGCGCAGCGACATATGCTCCAGGTTGGTAAGTCTGCCGGTTGGTTGGCTCTCGACGCCGGCGCGCCTCCTTCCTCGGCGCCGCAGGGGCCGCGCTGCGCGGCGCCTTCGCCGGCGCCGGCGGCTTCTGCGCGGCGCGCGCGCGGCGCCCTTCTGCCGGCGAGGCGGCTTCCACGGCGGCAACCGTCGGACGACGACGACGAAGACAACGACGACGACGACGACGACGACGACGACAATCGATCGATCGATCGATCGATCGATCGATCGATCGATCGACGGCGCCACAGATGGGTCCAGCGCCGATCCGAGAAATCCGCGCGGACGTCTGAGTTCATGTGTTTGTGTCATCGGTCAGTTCTCTATGACGAGGGGTGCGCCGAGATAGACCTGCCGAGGGCAAGGGGCAGCAATATGATGCGGAACAAGATAGGGGGAGGGCGTGCGCGCGGCGTTGCGGACTCAGAGCGAGGACCCAACAGCACGGAAGGTTGGAACAGACCACTTGAAGACCTGGGCCCCGACCCCAAACCTCCTCTTCCTCCCTCATCTGATCCTGTCCTCCTGGGCCCCCTCAGGTCATGAAAAAATCACGGCGGACCATGTTTCTTTAATTTGGGCCTCATGGGGCCCCTCCTGGGCCTCGGGACCGTCAAACAGCGACTCGGGATGAAACACCGGTCCCGGGAAAGAGGTCCACACAACTGGGGGTCGAGGTGATGAAAAACCACGACGTCGGGGGGCTGGGCTTGCTCCTGTTTCCTCCTCTTCCTCCTCTTCCGTTTCCCCGGTCCCCGGCTACGCAGGCGCGACTCTCGGTGCGCGGCTGGCCGATCCCTGCAGCAGCAGCTGCCTTCGTGCTCGGGCCTGGCGTCCCGCCCAACCTCCCGGCAGCCGCGCACCAAAGGTCTCGCCCGCGAAGGACCACCCTCTCGCGCAGCCGGGACTCGCTCCTCGTCCTCTCCGGTCCTCCTCTTGGCCACACGCTGGCGCGAATCGAGGGGGAGGGAGGGAGGAGGGAGTGAGGGAGGGAGTGAGGGAAGGAGGTGGAGAAGGAGGAGGAAGATAAGGGAGAGGGGGAGGAGGAGGAGGAGGAGGAGGAGGAGGAGGAGGAGGAGGAGGAGGAGGAGGAGGAGGAGGAGGAGGAGGAGGAGGAGGAGGGAGCTGCCCCCGCCAAGTGGAGCAAGTGCCGCCCGATTGGGCCACGGCTCCACGCGCCTTTTAGCCGTGCCTGCCTGCGCCTCCCCGATCCTCGGTCCCTGGCCTTTCCCTTCTTGCTCCTCTTGATCCTCGATCCTCGATCCTCGTCCTGCGCCTCCTCGATCCTCGATCCTCTCCCTGCTCCTGTTTCCCTCGCCTCCCCCCGAGTCACCGATCGGGGCCACCAGCCCCCCGCCCTCCTCCCCTCAGTGCAGTCAGGCAGCCTTCTCATCCCACCAGCCCTTTCGGCGACGGGTGGTCTGGGGATGATCTCTCTTGTCTTCCACAGCCCATATTTCCCTGCGGGGAGGGGAACCCTCCCCCTTCCCTCCCTGGGTTTTTTGGGGAGGGGGACCGATGTGTAAGAAGGTCCTTTTTCGGCCAGTGGGAGGGCCAATTTTTGGCACCCCTCACGAGGATCGTGGCCCCCGATGGGGGGGCAGACACCCAGGACCCCCCCTCTTTTGACCGACCGCCTTCAAGATGGCACCAAGAGATCCTCCAGGGCTCTCAAGAGGCCCCCAAGAGAGCCCCAAGAGAACCCCAAGAGCGCCCCAGCAGGCCCCAAGAGGCACCCGAAAGGCACCCAAGAGTCCCCCTGAGCGGCCCCCCAAGAGGCCCAAGAAGCTCACCCGAGGCAGGCAGGACACCGTCTCGTCCTCGTCCTCCTCATTGTCTTCCTTGTCGTCGTCCTCGCCCTCCTCCTCGGCCTCATCCTCGTCGACCTCCTCGTCCTTATCCTCCTCGTCCTTATCCTCCTCCTCCTCCTGTTTCTCCTCTTCCTCCTCCTCATCCTCATCCTCATCCTTTCGTTTTCGTCCCTCCTTCGTCCTCGTCCTCGTCATTTTCCTCCTCCTCCTCCCCTCCTCCTCCCCCTCCTCCTCATCCTCCTCCTCGTTCTCATCCTCCCCGTCCGCTTCCTCCTCCTCCTCCTCCTCCTCTCCTCCCTCCCTCCTCCTCCTCCTCCTCCCCCTCCTCTTCTCCCTCCTCCTCCTCCTCCTCCTCCTCCTCTCCTTACTCTCTCTTACGTAGTCCTCGTCCTCCTCGTCCTCGCCCTCCTTCTCCTCGTCTTGCTCCTGTTGCCTCCTCCCTGCTCCTCCTCCTTCTCCTCCTCCTCCTCTTCGCCACCCCCCCCCACGCGGGCCCGGAGATGGCCCCAACGCGCCGTCCAGGCCGGCCTCCCTCGCTGTTTGACTGTGCGTGTCTCTTCCTCTCTTCCCCCGTCAACTCTCATGGGCATCGTTTCTGGATGGGCTGGTGGGGGTACGCGAAGCGTCAAGAAGAAACTCGGGGGAGAGGAGGAAGAAGAGGAGGAGGAAGAGGAGGGGGAGGAGGAAGAGGTGGAGGAGGAGAGGAAGGGGAGGAGGAGGAGGAGGAGGAGGAAGAGGAGGAGGAGGAGGAGGAGGAGGAGGAGGAGGAAGAAAGTGAGGAGGCGGAGGATGTGGAGCAGTTAGCGGCAGCGTGCGGAGCATTCTCATGCCATCATGCAAGAAGAGGCGGGGCAGCAGCAGGAAGTGGAAGAACATGATCAGCCATGCTAGCGATTGCCATGACGACGGCGATGATGACGATGATGACGATGATGATGCTGACGATGCTGATGTCGATGACGACGACGACGACAACGACGACGACGACGATGATGATGATGATGATGATGATGCTGACGATGATTATGATGATGGTGATGATGATGACGAGTATGATGATGACGATGATGAGGATGATGCTGATGCTCATGCTGATGGTACTGATGATGGTCAACATGTTGGTGTTGATGTTGATGCTAATGAGAAAGAGGATGAGGATGATGCTGCAAGCGATGGTGATGCTGATGATGCTGATGATAATGATATACTGAAAATGATGGCGATGACAATGGTGATGATGACGATGATGATGATGCTGACGACGATGATGCTATTGCTGATGATGATGGTGATGGAGGTGGTGATAGTGATGATGCTGATGAGGATGGCGGTATGATGATGTTGCTGATGATGACGATGGTAATGCTGATGATGCTGATGATGATGCTTGGTAATGATAATGGTGATGGATGGTGATGCTGATGATGTTCGTGATGCTTGTGATGCTGATAACGTTGCTGATGATGATGTGATGATGATGATGATGATGATGATGATGATGATGATGATGATGATGATGATGATGATGATGATGATGATGATGATGCTTGTGGTGATGTTGGTGATGCTCACGATGATGTTTGATAATGATGCGGGTGATGGATGGTGATGCTGGTGGTGCTGATGATGATTGTGATGATGGCGACGCTGGTGTTCATGACTGTGATGGTGGTGGTGATGATGATAGTGTTGTTGCTGTTGCTGCTGATGAGTGTGCTGATGAAGCGCTCATGAGGAGGATGATGATGAGGGTGAGGATGACGATGAGGAAGAGGAGGAGGAAGAGGAAGTGGAAAAAGAAGAAGGAGGATGAGGAGGGAGGAGGGAGGAGAGAGGAGGAGGGAGGAGGAGGGGGAAAGAGGAGGGAGGAGGAGGCAGAGA